AGACTACCCTTTGGTTAGGATATAACTGGACTTGTTCTCTCTTGAGCACATCCCCCACCTAGCTCTTTGTCCCAACAAATTTTGGAAGGACACCCTGGTCGCGCTCTTTGTTCTACTATTAAGAGCCAACCATGGTTTCTTATCCATTAAGTTTCTCTGGTATGAATCAGATACCAGTCTCTGTCTGGACAACTATTCTTTTTCAATCTTGTCTTGTCTTGTTTAATGCTTTCCACTACTGAGTCACATCATTCCTTTCTTAATCATTGCCACACTGTAATATTTTAAAGTAAAGGGCACACATTCACATTTTTCCATAATACCCTTGGAAGAAGAGCCTACATTCACCTTACAGTGTACTCAACTCTAGTCTAACATATAGTCTATGCTTTATCAATATTTAACCCTGGTAGTTTTCATCTATCAGGAAACATGCTGTAACTTTTTAAAATAAGTGGAAGTGCCAAGCCAATTAAAAAGAGGAATGGTTAATCTCTTTAACACAAAGTGCTGGAAAAACTGGATATCCATATGGGGAAAAAAATGAACCATGTCATTAAACATGCCAAATGAAACTACGTCGTTAAAAAGATAAAAAATAATTTGAGATAAATCATAGAACAAAATGTAAAGTTAGAACAACAGTATTCTAGGAGGAAGGATATCTTTATGACCTTGAATTAAACAAAGATGTATAACATAAGACACAACAAATACTGTAGTGGGTTGTTTAGTTTCTCCCTATACCCCAAATTCATGTTCTTCTAGGAACCTCAGAATGTGACCTTATTCTATATAAAACTTTTTTTTTCATTTGCAGCTTTTGAAAAATGGTCTCAGATATCCTGATTTTTTTTATTACATATTTGTTCATTCACATTTTCTATTCCTGAAACTTTTTATTTGTGATAAACACCATGTGAATTGCTTGGCTAATGATCAGCAACTAATTTCTAAAAATTGTCTCAGTGAGAAAAAGTAGGTTCTTCTTGGAAATGTATTTAAAAATTCTTATCACAGACTACCTGATGAAAAATTATATATAGATTTATTTGTGGGGTATTGCTCAGGTGAAAAGTAACTGTTGAGTTGAGACTCTTAAAGATTCATGTTGTGTTATATCTGTAATAAATCAAATTTTCCATAAAAGTCTCATTTCTCACAGCTCTGGTATTTAAAGTAAACTAGATAGGCTGTAAATGCAGTAAAACTGTTGTCAGAAAAGAATTTTAAGTATGAAAGCAAAATATATGTGTAACCACAAAATAATGAGATTTCTTTTTAAAATTTCACACTTCCAAATCGACCATTATGCCTAGTGCATAATCTACTCGCTGTTTTGTGTTAAGGCCTCATCTCACGTCATTCTATTCTGCTAGCTCCAGGCATGTGGGCCTCCTTCTAGTCCTTATAGGAAGTGTCAGAGACTGCACTAATAGTTTAGGTCTTAGGTCACCTCCTCAGAGAGACTATCTCTGACCATGTTCTCTATCTCAGTATCTTATTTCTCTTGGCACACATCACTTTCTAAATTATTTCATTTATTCATGTACTTGTTATTGTCATCCACTAGAAGGCAAGGCCAGTAAGGGAAGTGTCCTTATTTTCAGTCCTCCTTCAGGGCACCGGGTCTCACTAGCAATGTGGTTTAGCATACAAGCTATTAGATATGATTTTGGAAATTTTCTTCCTAATGAAAATTTGAGATGGCAAAGATGATATTTTAATTCACTTTTAATTTACTTTTAAAACAAGAATTCCCAAATAGGCCTTTTCTTGAAAGACGGACATCAAATGGAATCAAATAATGAAAATTCAATTATAGTTCTTAGGAATTACTTGGTTTCATTTTATGAATTTAGCCCACAATACTGTTTCTCAAAAATTCGAATTTTGATATAATACTGATTTTATTCTGCCTCATATTATTTTCATTTTACAAATATTTGTTGACTTAAAAAAGATGCAATGCTCTTCTCAACATTTTCTGGCTTATTCACTCTGTATTAGTATTTGTGCGAACAATCAATTTCCTTTTTAACTTCTTGGATTTCACCACCTTTTTTTGAGGTCTCAATCTAAAAGATGGAATCTAAAATTCCCTCTTTCCTATCTTGTGATATTTAATTGTTGAAAGAAGCCAAATCATTTGTTCTATAGAATTTCCCACATTGCAGACTTGGTTAACTTTGTCTTTATGGTGTTAAACATTCCTCTACCTTCAACCCTACCCTCACCCCCTATATAAATACTTGATCATCAGATTTTAAAGTTCTGATTAGATTCAGGTTTTTAACTTATATTTCTGTGTCGAGAATATTTTTTATTTCATTAACTTTTACTGTATCTTGCCAGGAGGAACATGATATTTGGTTGTCTCACTTTTAGTGATGTTAAAGTTGATAAGCAGATTTAAGCATTACCAGCCTGACCTGTCCATTGTTAAATTCCCCAACAGCCTTTCACCTACAAATCTAGGCCTGATTTAAACATGAAGGATGTAAGTGGATAGGTGTGAAAAAACGAAGAGTTCTAGTTATTTGGAAATTTTTCATTGTTCTGCCAACTATTGCAGCTGCCTATGGCCAGTGCCTAGATTCATTGTCTCAAATGATCTAATGGTGAATTCATTTAGATTCAAATGAATCTAAAAATCAAAACGGTGATTTTTTTTTTAATTCTGCCATCTCTTCTGTTATTTATGATTTTTCTATAAAGAAACTTTTCATCACTCCATTCTGAATTACCAATCATGTAAGAAAAGTGGGATAAATATTTTCCCCCTTTATTATTTTTAGAATAATGAAATGATGCCTATCAATCTTCAAAAGCAGTCACTTTTTATTTTCAATTAAAAACTGGATTTTTATATTTGATATGTTTCAACCTCTTTGAACTAATTTGACCTATTTAAACTAATTTTAAAAATCCTGAACTATATTTCCTTTTAACATTATTTACCTGGTACCTGTCACATGTGAAAGGTCTGTACTCCTGGATCATTCAGGTACAAGATTCAACTTACCCTTTTTATCTGCTTGAGCCAGTTAGAACTGCATTTTTTGTCACTTAAAACCTAGATTCTTAGCACAAATCTGTCCATTCTTCCACTTTTGTTCCATACTATAATTTGGATTTCATAAAATTAACAAAAAAAGATTTCTTTAAAATCATGTTAGTATTTATGATGATTATCTCTGCCATCATTTCTTTATGCTTTGCATCTTGGCAGCTCTCGCCAATAAAATGAAAAGAGAAGTGAACATGTAACAATAATTGACTCTTTTCCACTAAAGGAGAAAGAATTTTAAAAAGGAATTTGAATTGCAGCCCACAAGTTTTTTGTACTTAGCTAAAGTTCCCAAATGCCTGGAGCAACTGCTTTTACTGGTGGAAAGTTATGGTGGGCATTTAGAGCAGCCAGCAGACATTTACTGGATATGCACCTTCCATTTCTGGCAATCACTTTATTAAAAATGGAAATAGAGGGCCTCCCCGGTGGCGCAGCGGTTGAGCACTGGGTTGCGAAGCTGCCCGCGGCCTCTGCGGCGCCGGTTCGATCCCCGGCTGCTCCCCGGCCACCAGCGAGGGTCCCACATGGCGCGCAGACCTCTCCTGCCGCCCGCTGCTCCCCTCAGCAGTGTACTTCGGTCCTTCTGCCTGCTCTGCTCCCCGCTCTGGCTCTGGTGAATTCTCTCACCCTCCCGCACTTCTGACTGTACCCAGTGCATGTATAAACAAAAAACCAAAACAAACAAATAAATAAATAAATAAATAAACATGCCTCTATAAAAAAAAAATAAAAAAAAAAAAAATGGAAATAGAGCTGATGATCAAATGAGTCGGCTAGCAGGAGTCTGGATAGGAATTTAGGATTAGTATATACATGGAGGGTGTGGGTGAAGTGTGAAAGAAAAAGTTATAGTTCTTTGCTTATTTTTGTTACTCTTCTAATTTATAAAGTTGAGGCATATTCAAATTATTTTAAGACAATTATCAACAAGGTGTTTTAAACTGTTGCTTACATAGTATTATCCAAAGAGTAAACCTAAGTGAATGATCTGGATAGTAAAATAAGAATAATAATAAAATTGGTCCATGTAATGAGAAGAGCAGTGAACTGCGGAGTCAGAAAGTGCTAGTTTCATCCACTTACTCCACAAATATTTTAAGACCCAAGATGTGCTAGAAGCTGGAGATTACAAAATGAATACTAAACGTTTGCTACAGCTGGGTCGTCCTGAATCTTCCTCTCCTTTGAAAGGTGGCGGCTCACTTGGCTTTGTTTTGAATATTTTAATTAAAAAAATTCTTCAATAGACTGTAACACATCATACACGTTAGTACTTCATATACTAATCCTAAATTCCTATCCAGACTCCTGCTAGCCGACTATTTTGGGAGGTTGCTAGGCACTCTATTGTTCTAAAAATTAATAAAAATTAAAGCATTCAGACTGTTTTTCCTAAATTCCTGTAATTTAGGGCGACCAAGGAAAAATTCAAATAAAAAAATCGATGATCTAAAATCAGAAAATCGATGATTTAAAAACTTCTCAAGGGGCCCTGGAGAGGGAGTGACAAGCGGATTAGGAGAAGGGCAGCAGCACTCTGAGGGCCGCAGACTCTTGCGGTCTAAGGCTCTGGTTTCAGAACGTCAGGCTGAGCGGTTGGGCCGGCGGGCCAGGCAGGGTCTGGGTGTCGCAGGTGGCGGGGCCACTGCAGGTGACGCGACCCAGGCCTGCCCCCGCGCTGCCCGCGGTCTCTCAGCCGCACCGCCGCCTTTGAGGTGGGGCGGCTGCCACCCCGACCCCGCCTAGTCTCAGCGAGCCAATAGGAAGAGCTGCCGCGGCAGCGGGCCCCGCCCGAGGCGGCCCGAAAACCCAGAGCTTGCGGTCTCGGCCCAGGGCCATTTCCGGCCGCGGGAGCCGCGTAGCGAGGCCGCACCGGCGCGCGGCGCCCCCTGCTGGCGGCGTGCGGCGAGAGCGCGGGCGGGCCGCCTCTGCCCACGCCTCTGGGGCCCTGCGCAGCCTTCAGCCCCTGAGGGAGGCCTGGCTGCAGCCACGACCTCACTACTGACTCGCTTTTCCCCCTGACCCTCGGAGAGTGCCCCACCCCCCTTCTTCACCCCCGTCTTTTCGCTGGAGGTGGAGGGATGGTTCATAAAAGAAAAAGTAAAGACCTCGAGTGCGAGGCGAAGATGGAGGAAGACGCCCAGACCCCTGACTGGGACAGCGATGAAACGGTGATAGAGGGGTCGGTGACCGACAGCGACCTGGAGGAAGAGGAGCTGCGCTGGAGAAGGTGACCACCGTTCGCGCGGGCCTGGACAAAGTGACCGCAGTTAGCCCTGGGCCGTGGTGCGGCCTGGCCCCCAGCCTTGAGTAGAAATTGCTCCCTGCGTTATGCTTGTGGGCACTAGAACTTGGGGGCAGCCAGGCCTGAGCTTAGAAGTTGTAAGAAAGACCACATCGTCATGCCCCAAATTTAGGACAGAACCAGCTTTCTAGTAGGTGACTTTCATGGCACTTAAGAAAGGCCTTTCTCTTAACCTAGGCCTGGAAGTCTTTGCATACCCAAGTTAAGTGTTGGGATGGAAGTCCTCAGATGGATTTTGCTTCAAGCAATTTATAGACCAGGAGTAGGAGATAATTAACGGAATTTCTCTCAGGAATAAAATGTGTTCTCGGGGAACTGGTTCCTACCAACCTTTCATTTCATTAAAAAAAAAAAAAAAAGGGGTAGTTCAGTTTATCAAAACTTTTTTGAATGTCTCTAGTTTTCTGTATTAGATGCTGGAAGAAGTCAGATGAGATAAGGCCATTGCCTTTGCAAAACCTAGGAACCAGGCGGGATAGACAATTTCAGTATAATGTGGGAAGTCCAGGGAAAGTATGCTGGTAGTCAGGGTAGTCTGTTACAGTTTTCTAGGGTTGAGCTTTGGATAGTGACTTGAAGGTGGGTTAGGAATTAGCCAGATGAAGAGAAGGAAGTATTCTAGGCCAGCAAAACTGCACTGATAAAGGGGTGGTGGTGAGGCCTAACATATTGTTAGGTGTGTTGGCATAAACAGTGTTAACATGAGGTGGTGATTGGCCAAAGAGGAGCTTGGAGAGGGAAGTGGGGTGAGGGTGTAAGACCTCCTACATCATTTGTGTGTCCTGATGTTACAGGGCAGCCCGGATATAAATTTCTCCCTAACACTGACTGACACAGTGCGTATAAGATGTTAAGCTGAGCAACAGTTTAATCTCTGACATGCCCTACACTAGGGCCTTTCAAATTTTAAAGTGCTGATAAATCTTTCCAGAATCCTGTTAAAATGATTTCAGTACAGGAGTTCTGGGGTAGGGTCTGAGATTCTGCATTTCTAACAAGCTTACAGGTTAAAGTGGGGATACCTTTTGCAAAGCAAGAATGTGGCGGTTGTCTTTCAAAGTAGACTGGGATGATGAGCTCAACTAGGAAAAAACTGTGGGAATGAAGGGAAAATGATAAATCTTCAGAAAGTAGATTTCACAGGAGATGGTAGGTGATTAAATGTGGAGGGTGTGGTAATGAGTGTTAACCAGGTTTCTGGCTCGTGTAGATTACATATATAGTAATATTCCCTCTTACTGCTGTCCAGGGACCATTTTGACAAATGCATGAAATCTTATAACAACCAGTCACCATAATCAATATCCGCAACAGTTTCATCACTATAAAAAACTCTTGTGCTATCCCTTTGTAATGAAACCTCCCCCCAGCCCCTTTAAATTCCTGATCCCATAGAGCTCTTGTTTTTTTCTGTGTTCTGTTCTCCTCTTGTCTCTTCTTCGCTTTTGTTTTTGATTTGATTATGATGGATCTGGGCATGATTTTATGTGTTTCCTGCTTGGGATTCACTGAACTTCTTGAATGTGTAAATTTATGTTTTTCATCAAATGTGCAAAGTTTTTTGTTATAATTTCTTCTCATTTTTTTTCTGTCCCAATGTCTTTCTGTTCTCTTTCTGAGACTTTAAGTAACATGAATGCTAGGCCTTTTGATATTGTCTCCCTGATTGAGGCATTCAGTTTTTTCCCCCTCAATTCTTTCTCTTTTCTCTCCATAGACTCTTTAATTTCTATAGCACTATCTTCAGGTTCACTTGCTTTTTCTTTTATTACCTTCCTTTTGTTGTGAGCCTATCTAGTGAGTTTTTAATTTCAGATATTATACTTTCGTCTTCTAAGATTTTCACCTGATTGTCTTTTATATTCCTCTGTTGAGAACATCAGACTTCTTATCCATTTGATAAGTGTTCACCTTTTTCATAGAGAATGATTATAATAGCTTCTTCAAAGTCTTTGTCTTGTACTTACAACATCTGGGTCAGGGCAGGTAATTGGCATCTGTTAGGTTTAGTTTTATTTTATTTTTTTTTTTATTTTATTTTATTTTATTTTATTATTTTTTTTTTTTTAAGATTTATTTATTTATACAAGCACTGGGTACAGTCAGAAGCATGGGAGGGTGAGAGAATTCACCAGAGCCAGAGCGGGGAGCAGAGCAAGCAGAAGGAGCGAAGTACACTGCTGAGGGGAGCAGCGGGTGGCAGGGGAGGTCTGCGCACCATGTGGGACCCTCCTCCAGTGGCCGGGGAGCAGCCGGGAATCGAACCAGCGCTGCAGAGGCTGCGGACAGCTTCGCAACCCAGCGCTCAACCGCTGCGCCACTGGGGAGGCCCTGTTAGGTTTAGTTTTAAACTAAAGGGTACATTTCTAAAAAAAATTTTTGAAATAGAAACAATAATGGTGGTGTAATTAAGAATTTCAGCAAGGCTAGGTGTAATAAAAATGATAGTTGATTGTTAGTTTTTGTTTAGGAAACATGATAACAACTTGGCCTTCTATTTTGATATTTGACAGGTTGAACCTTGATCAAGAAACATCTCATGGATATGAGTTCAGTCTCCATTCTGGTATGTGTAAAGGTGGTAAATTATTCTTTTCACCAAGTAGTCCCTTAATTTCCTAAGTATTATTATTTGATTAATTTCTCCCTGTCTATTTAGCATTGTTCTTTAACATTACATAGTTAGTTTTTTATAGGCATCTACAGTAGGCCCTAGGCTATATTACTATATAGACCCACCTCAAGAGCATAAAAATATTCTTACCTTTATTTCCACTTATATGTAATGTTCTGTACAGTTGGCTTTACGTCTGCATAGAAAGAACATTTTCTTGGGCCTCCCCTGGTGACGCAGCAGTTGAGCGCTGGGCTGCCCACAGCCAGCCTCTGCAGTGCCGGTTCCATCCCTGGCCGCCGGCGAGGGTCCCACATGGCGTGACAGACCTCTCCTGCCTAGCCTGCTGTTCCCCTTAGCAATGTATTTCGTCAGTCTGCCTGTTCTGTTCCCCGCTCTGGCTCTGGTGAATTCTCTCACCCTCCCACGCTTCTCACTATACCCAGTGCTTGTATAAATAAATAAAATCTTTAAAAAAAAAAGAAATAACATTTTCTCTTCTTTATTCCATCTTGGGCCATTTTTTAAACCCATAATGCTAGTATATAATACAAAGAAAATACAACTGATTAGCCAACTGAAAAAATAAAGTTAGAAAACTACCTTCCTATATGTCAAAATATCTTAAACAGATATAAAGATATAAGTGTAAAATACAATATATACATATTCTTTCTGTTTGTTCATCCTGAAGTAAAAAATATCAGATATATTTTATTCAGTGTAATATGTGTGTTTCTTCCTCATTCATAACTTAAAAACCTTTATACTTAAAAGTAGCATTAGGAAATTTTGATTTATAAAATGTTTTTTAATGACATTTTGCAGTGTTTATAAAATCCTTGGGTCATTGTCACAGCAGAGCAGTAAAACCGTTGCAAATGATTATATTTCATTCTAGACACTCCTTCTCCAGAGATTCAAGTTGGGTTCAAACTCAGAAAGGATCCACAAAAACAAGTAAGTAAAAATACGATGATGTCTGTTGATAGTGAGGATGCAGTGTCACAGGTGTGTCATAATTGATTAATTACATAATTGTTAAAAATTGGAAATGCAATCTCATGGAGTGGTAAGTTATTAATGATAATTCTTTTTGTGTATTATTTTGCTGCTGCTTTAATCTTTTACTCAAGTTTTCCTCCTTTCTTAGCCATTCTGTTCTTATACGACAACCTTGATGAAATCCAGTTGTTTTATATAAAGACCTACAACTCAACAATAAAAAAACAAATAACCTGATTTGAACAGGGCAAAGAACTTAAAGAGACATTTCACCAAAGAGATATACAGATGGCTGATAATCACATGAAAATATATTCAAAATCATTAATCACTAGGGAAATACACATGAAAACCACAATGAGATACCACCTCATACTCATTAGGATAGCTATTATCAAAAAAACCAAACAACAAAATAGAAACAAAATTATACCAACAAGTTTTGGTGAGGGTATGGAGAAGTTAGAATTCTTGCTCATTGTTAATGGAAATGTAGAATGGGGCACCACTGTATAAAATAGTATGGTGATTCTTCAAATTAAACATAGAATTAACAAATGATTCAGAAATTCCACTTCTGTGTATATACCTGAAATAAGTGAAAACAAGAATTTAAAAATATATTTGCATGCTCTTGTTCATGGAAACATTATTCAGAACATAAGGTGGAGGCAATCCAAGTATCTATCAACAGATGAGTGAATGCACACAATGTGGTATAGACATACAGTGGAATATTATTCAGCCTAAAAAAGGAAGGAAATACTGATACTTGTTATAACATGGATGAATCTTGAAGACATTATACCAACTGAAATGAGCCAGTTACAAAGAGACAAATATTTTATGATGCCACTTAAATGAATACCCAGAGTAGTCAAATTCAGATACAGAAAGCAGAAGAGTGGCTGTCAGGGGTTGGGATGGAGTGAAAGGGGGGAGTTAGTGTTTCATGAGTATGGAGTTTCACTTGGAAAAGATGAAAAAGTTCTGAAGATTGATGGTACATCAGACTGAATGTATACAGTACCACAGAATTATACACTTAAAAATGGTTTAAATAGTAAATTTTATGTTAGATATATATTTTATCACAATATAAAATATAAAAGAAGCTAAGAAAGTAACATAAGAATTATCTTAACTGTTAAATTTTTAACTGGTTGCATTGGATTAGCATTCATCAATTTGAAAAAATTGTTTTTCTTCCTAGCAAAGTCAAGACAAAATGGAACAAAATCAAGTTCTGTTACAGTAAGTATCCTAATTTTTGGCTTTATTCTAGATACTTTTGTCATTTTTCTCATTTAAAATGAGTCTTCACTTATTTTTAGGGTTTTAAAATTGTGCATTTTTGAGTAATGGCTCCTTTAGCCTCATAAATATTATTTTACAAACATTCTAGGTCAATTTTATTTCATAAAGAACCAACTAATGGTATTTGTTGCCAATGAAAAAAACAAAAACTTTGAAGTGAAAATTACAGTGTTAGAAGACCGGTGTCTAGCATCTTGACCTTGAGTTCTCCAATACTTTAAATTTTCTAGTGAGGTCAGTGGTATATTTATGACAGTGATTTTTTTTTATATTTTATAAAGAAAAGTCTCAAGTAAGGATGATCTGTATAACTTAGTGAATCAGTATTTCCTAAAAGACCAGTGCATGATGTCATAAAATCAGGCACAGGAAAAAAAAACCACTGAAAATGCAAAATAGACCAGTAGGTTATAATTTTATAGCAGACAAAATGTTCATTGATTATTTCCCTTTCTACATTTCTAGTAACCTTTAAGGAAGCTATTGCTTATAGAATTTTGGTGTAATATTAAAAGGGAACATCCACAATTTTCTAAAAAGTTTACTAAATTACTCTTTCCTTTTCAAATTGCCTATCTTTGTGACCACATTTTTGTTATATACTTAAAACAGTATACGGCAAAATATGAAACGAAGTTAACAGATAAGAGATGACAACTGTCTTCATATTTTTGATTTTGTCATATTTTCTGTATAAGTGATCTCATTCTGCAGATTACATCCTGCTTTTAAATTTTAAGTAATAACTAAAAATTATTTTCTCATATCATATTTTTAAAAAACATAAATTATCATGACCTCAAAAAATTTAATTGTATAATTTCACTGATTTGTTTAATTATTTCTCTACTATTAGATGTTTAGATTGCAGTCTTGCTTAATGTAAGTAACTTTTTAGTAAATTTTAGTTTAGTAAACTTTTACTAAAAAGTTATTTACAACATTTTAAAATAAGTTAGATGAAAGTTGCTCTATTATCAGACATATCTTAAATTTAATTTTGTAGTTAAGGGAAAAATTCTGTTAAAAATTCAGTTATTAAAAATTCTGTAGTTAAGGGAAAAAATGGCATTCTTTTCCACTTGCCTCATAGAAATTATCATTCTATATGAGCAGTTTCATTTCCATTTTCAAGATAGCTTCATATTGGTCACTATTTTTAGGTGGGTGAGAATGTTCAATTCATTATTCTTGTCTAGGATTAAAGTAGTATGCCTGGTTCATAAAAAATGCTCTCAAGACTGTTGAAACAGAAGGTTTTTTTGTTTTTTGTTTTTTTTTAAGGGAGGGATCTTGATTACATTTTTGCAGTAAATTAGGGTAAAAAAAACAGTTAACTGATTGCTTTTCTTCACTCAACTTTAAATTATCCCAGGGCAGATAATCAGAATTGCAAATTAGGTATGACCCTTTTTTTGCTTTTGACCTTTTCCCCTTCAGTATTGCTTCCTTTTCCTTGTTTGCTGTGAAATACAAGAATCATGAATAATATTTGAGAATTTCTCATTAGTGACTTTCATTTACACTTACAACTATAATGGCAAAATTTCAGTGTATTTGAAGATGTAGATAGTCAAACTGCCTATTTAGGACTGGTTTTCCTCTCTAATCCCACCACCCATATTTAGTAGTCTGTTATATTTCAAGTTACTTTGAGATATAAATGTAGTTTACCTTATTTGCACTCCTGAAGTACACTCCATTCGTTTTTCAGCTCTCTCATTTTCTCAATCACTTGAAATGTAAAGGTTAGCATATCTGTAGTAATTTTGAAAATAATTATAATAGTGTAACAAAAATATTATCCTATTTGGAAATTTCCTTATTTTTTAAAAAAGATTTATTTATTTATTTATTTATTTATTTATTTATGCATACAAGAGCTGGGTGTAGGCCAGAGGTGTTGTGGGGGGAGGTGGTGGTGAGAGGATTCACCAGAGACAGAGTGGGGAGCAGAACAGGCATATCTGCTGTGGAGGGAGCAGAGGGCTAGACAGGAGAGGTCTGCTGTGCCATGTGGGTCAGCTCCCTGACGGGGGATAGAACTCATGATACTCAATGGCTGGCTATTGCTTGATAGCACTGTGTCTTTAACCCCTGTGCCACCAGGGAGGCCCTGGAAATTCCTTTAAATGAACAAAAAATTTTACTTTAATTTGAGAAATCGTGTTTTTCCTTTCCATTTCAACATTTACCTTTATTAATTCATTGATTTAATATTTTTAGGACTACAGAGTGTCCACAGTTCACTGTGTCATTTTCCCAGCCTGAATTTTCACAGAACCACCAAAACATTCAAGGTATGTGCTCATGGCTAGGGTAATATAAATAGACAGCTTAGTTAGATGGGAATTTATTTACAACTAGGATCGTCCACTATATGATGTGACCAAACATTTTTACATAGGAAATCAGTGTTGCTGTTGACCTTGGGTCATACTGAGGAAAGTTGCCCATAGGAGAAACCCCTTAAGTGCTGTCACTACTGCTACCTCAATTGCCTACTCTTTTGACTTGTAATTTTTTTTTAAAGATTTATTTATTTATACAAGAACTGGGGTACAGGCCAGATGTGCAGGAGGGTGAGAGGATTCACTAGAGACAGAGCAGGGAACAGAACAGGCAGACTGACGAAATACACTGCTGAGGGGAGCAGCGGGCACGGCAGGAGAGGTCTGTCACGCCATGTGGGACCCTAGCCGGTGGCTGGGGATCAAACTGGCGCTGCAGAGGCTGTGGGCAGCTTTGCAGCTCAGCGCTCAACCCCGCTGCACCACCAGGGAAGGCCCCTAAGAACTTAAATAGAAAAAACTCCTTGCAAAAATAACTGAAGATGGATCTGTTGTTTTAAAATGATTCTTGCATTAAGCCTGAGATACAAAAATTTTAAATAACAAGATATAGATACTATAACATCATTGCTTGCCATAAAAGATTCTAATGTAAGGATAAGAAATTATTTATTCTTATGACTGCTTGTCATTCTTTAAGGAAGTAGAATGCCATAATATTAATCCTTTTCAGTGCTTTTCATAATCAAATAGCAAATTTGAAGTAAGAAAAATGATAGTTTTTTTATAAGGTATAATACCTAGCAAATACTCCCCCCCTCACCCCCCACATGTGCAAAGCTTGTCTTGTTTTTCAGGGTTCAGCAGATAATTACTGCTTACACTCTAGTTCTACATATTGCCTAATCAAAAGAAACAAAAAGAATGATTCATACATGCCTGAAATACCAGTGAACCCTGAATTCTTACCTGAGTATAACTGAGTGCTTACACTTTGAATGTGAAGAGAGAAGGCAAGAGGAGTGGAGTAGGAGAAATATCTTTTTTCCTGATCTTCCCCTTCATCTTCACTTGTTGTGAATGTCTATCAGCCTGGCAGCCAGGCAACAGGGTGAAGAGTGGATGGTGAGGGTGCAGTCACATTTAGGACAACCTCTTGCTTCCTTTGGCCCCTACCCGGGGTATTCCTTTTCATACCTAACTCCAGATAGCATTAATTCATTTCAATTCTGTTACCTATATTGAAGATAATGATGATGAGAAGTAGATAAGATTTTTTCCTCATGTAGTTACAAATTCTTAGAATAAATCAGTCAAAATAGAGGTTTTTTTTTTAAGCTAAATTAATCCCAATTATACCTTTATCTGGCATAATGTAAAATATTTTTTTAAGAAATGAAAGAATTATCTTTTTTTAACTTTATTACCAAAATACTGATACTTCTGTATCAACATATTGGCATACTATTTATAAAATACTTGATATGTCACATGAAACTCTGAGGGAATCATTTCAAGTCACATGATTAAGAAATACTGAGTGAGAGGATATGTTCTTAGTGCTTTATTAAAACTGGAATGAAAATGCATATTGTTATCTTCTAGGGCCTGAGGCTGAAAATTCTGAAGTTTTGATACACTCAGGAAAGGTTGGTTTGTATAACATATTATTAACTACGCAGATCATGAGTTTAGAGTCAAAAGAAAATTTATATTGATTAAAGTATAGTTGAGTTATAGGGTAAAATCCCCCACCTCTTTGGGTTCTTCTAGGACTAGAAGAAGAATCAAAGCAGCATGAGATGAGTTAGCAAAGGAAAAATCAATTTAATAGTATTATGTGTGGAGAATTTACCTAGTGGTAAATTCTTCAAAAAAGAAAAACAATGGAATGGGGATCTTTATCCTATGTTTAAGGATATGGTCATCAAGGAGAGAGAAAGGGGGAAACTTCATGACAAGGAGAGCATTGCATTCCTCATCTTTACACAGAGTGGACATTGTTGCTGATAAACCTGTACCTGGATGCTGTCCCCTAAACTGCATTCTTAGAGGGCATAGAAAGGGACAACAATGATTGCTACTTCAATTAGGAAAATAACAAATAACTGAAACTAAGATAAAATTTCCCTTAGCTTCTAAGACCTGTACTTCTCTTAACTTAAAATAACCTGTATTCTTTGAGTTATGGTAATAGATGTTAGGATGCTCACAAGGTCCCCTGTGACCTCTAGTGCCCCATACCAAGGTGACTCTTACTAGATGAAGCATACCAAGGCATTCTGAAAAAAGCCTCTCTGACCCTTTTGGGGAGACATCCCACAGTGTCAAGCCTACTTTAGACTCTTCCCTAGGAAGGAATATCACCAAATAATTTCAGTAGATAGAAATCTATTCTTTTCTTACCATTCTTTCCAATATTTATTCTTCTTTACTCCTTTTTTTAAGATTTATTATATTTATTTATGCATACAAGAGCTGGGGTGTAGGTCAGAGGTGCAGGGGGTGAGAGGATTCACCAGAGACAGAGAGGGAGGCAGAAGAGGCAGATCTACTGAAATATACCACTGAGGGAGCAGTGGGCGAAACAGGAGAGGTCTGCTGTGCCATGTGGGTTAGCTCCCTGGCCGGGGATCAAACTCATGCTGCAGTGGCTGGCAATAGCTTGATAGTGCTGAGACTTTAACCCCTGCACCACCAAGGAGGCCCTTTTCTTTATTTCTAATGAAATCGTAATTTCTGGATCTGTGTTTCTTATCCAGCATTGTGTCATGTTCTTTATCTAGATGAGGAGCATATAACTAACTGTTAAACTAGTTGCTGAGATGATATAGCAAAAATGTCTTCTGTTGATCTGTTACCCTAGTTTCATTATTATTTCCTGATATCAGTAGATACTGCTCTCCCATATTCCAGTTGCTAGTCAATAACCATGCATCGAGTGCTTGCTTTGGCTTTGCTTTCTGCTTGGCAGTTTAGGGTTTCAGAGGACTTAATAATGACTGCCCATAATGAACTCAAGCAATCAGATACCTCCCAGGCTAAACCTACCATACCTGTAACTACTTCACTCCCACTGTATTTTACACATATCCACCTCCATGTCTTGGTTCAAATCAGGATCCAAAAGGCAAGGGAAAAAGCATAAAATTTGAAACCAGGTAGATGTGTGTCCCAAGGATGAGTGTGTCATTATATGTACAAAAAAACATAGACTAATATCTATTTCATAGGGCTGCTGTGAGGACTGAGCAATGATAGTTCATGATATCTGACACCTAACTGGTGCTTAGTAAATATGTGCTCCTCCTTTCTTTTATTCCTTCACAAATCGTTAATTTCTGACTTAAGTCTCTTCTCTGTGGATCTATCTCAGATAGCTCAGGTCATTATAACCAAAGTAATAGCTCCCTGTCTAGCATTAATTATTTGCTGACTATATGACTGTTTCCCAGCCACTTGGCATCCTATGACATCAGTAGGTATGCTGAGAAAAAGGGTGTTTTGAACAAAGAAGTTTAGAGAACACTGTATCCTAACGTCTCCTAAGAAATTTATAATGTACATGCTCTGAAAAGTATTGTGGTTAAGAAATCTGTTCAATTTTGTTTAACCAAGCATTTTTTAAAGCAATCACGAAACCAACCAATCATGAAAATCTTCCACTGCCTCTCTTTTGTCCCCCTATAAATGTGTACCACACTGGGTTTGATGGTTTATGTTACTCATTTGAGTTCAGACAGTGTTTTTGATATTATTTATACTTTAATGTCTTATATATTTATTCCTTTGATTCTGTATTTATTCCTTTGATCCTCAGATGGAAATGAAGCTCCATAGGACAGTTACGTGTATATATTTTATTATATTTGGGGTCTCGAATTTCATAGATATAGGAGTTTAAAGAGATATAGGAGTTTTCATAGATATAGGAGTTTAAAGAGGAAGGATATCTTGAATTGTGACTTAAAGAATGGATAGGATCTAGTTCTTGAATTCCTTCTAAATTCCTTTTATCTTTCTGAGATATAATTTGTATTACTAATAAATAAGTATATTTTCTTAAGTTCGGTGTGTTATATACAGAGAAGATCAATGGTGGCAGGTAGAAAACGAGAAAAGGAAGAGTAAAAGTTTGTGCTTCTCTTATTCAAATCAAATCAGAATATTTGAGGGCTTACAAATTACATTGTTGGAGTGAAAGGTAGTTTTGATTTTAAGAAACAGCCAAAGTCATTAAAACCCATTCTGTTATTTAAGATCAAGCAAATTAACAGTTTTAGGTGTAAAAAAAAGTTCATTGTCTTTAAAGTATTGAGACTGGTTTTTTGAGTGGTATATAAATGGATTTTTAAAGCAGTGTCAAAAAAGGAAATCTGATAATATTCTGAGTATTGGAAACATTGCCAGAATAGGTATAGCGTATTAAGGTTGTTCCAGACCCCAACAAATATGGTTTTGGGGATCCCCTCTGAGAAAGAATTCATTGGAGAATATCGGATAACCAGAACAGGTTAATCAAGACTTGTCCACAAGGGAGTCTGTGCCAGAGAGGAAATTTTTTGCCTGGCTCCCCAGAGGGAGCTAGGAAGGAGTTCTTACAGAGTGGGTCTACCAAGGTGGGGCAGAGGGGAGCACTGTCATAGCTTGTTCTGAGCTGGGATACACTGGGGCATGTGCAAAAGGGCTACATACTCCTTCATACCTTGCATGTTTCATTATCTAAAGTCTCCATGCAGGAGTGTGCATGTTAGCATGCTGTGATCTAGTCGCAGTTTGTCAAGACTTTTATTAACTGTGCATGTGGGGCCCTCCAACCTCCCTTCCTCCGGGAAATTGTGAAACAATTATTTGTCATGATATAGCACAGATAATTTAAATTTAGTTGGATAGATAATTTACCATCAGTAATTATGGTCCAGCTAATTTTATCTTTGGTCAACTATTAAATGTTTAGCCACTTTTTTCAGAGTCATTAGTAGTTTGGTATAGGAAAGTAGTGAAGGGTATTTTTATTACTGGAAGGGAAGAAAAGTTGATAAAAATTTTTGGTGGTAACTAACCATCTTTATAAACTATAACTGTAGTTTGAAATTATAGTTATTATGAAAACTAAAAAAACTATAAAGCTTTCATTTTAAACACTTTTTTGTATATACTATAATGATGGAATTTCTATTTGTAATACACAGGAACTAAATGAAGACAGAGAGTCTCCTGAAATTAGTCTTCTTTCAGATACTGCTATCACAGTGTCTGATAAGATTGCTGTAAACCAAAAATTGCTAACGGAGCCAGAGAGGCTCTTAGGAGCACCAAATACATTTTCTAAGCCTGGAAATGAAGTCATATCACCTAAAACTTTTGAAGAAACCAGGGATGAAGAAAGCTCACTTGAAACTTTTGTGTCTGCCATAGAAAGGTTATTGCCATCACCAGAAATTACCAGGGAGGAAAGACTGTTTGAAAAAATGAGTGATTTTGAACCTAGAGAGTTGATGAACACATTGAGCAGATCTTCAAGTTCCATATCATTACCCTTGACATGTCACGGAGATTTACTAGAAAACACCAATGATGATGCATTACCATATGAGCTGTTAGCAGCTCTGAACACATTGTCAGAAGCCCAGGAACAACCCATCTGTCACAGAAAATGGGGAGGCAACGTTCTCAACCCTGGAGATAAGTATTTAGAACTGGATCCCAATATGTCTCAGACTGATGAAGATTGTACACAAAAAGCAGAGGTGAGTTTTGATTCTCTTTGTGCTGCTCCACTATTTGAACAAGATTCTAAGTTAGCTGAGCTTCAGTGCAGCAAGTAAGCACATGTATGTGTGTATGATTTTGCCTTTTATGTAAGTTACCTTTAACTCTTCATTGCCCATATAATTTATTTTAAATTCAAGCCATCTACCCATTATCTACTAAGAAGATACAATTTTACTTGAAGCACACTGATCTTTCAAGAGATTCCTAGGGTAGAGTTTCAAGTGTTTAAGAAATTAAAATAGAGAAAAATCTTTGCAGAAGACCTAGAAGACCTGAGATTGCTTACACAGAGGATGGAAAGAACTCTTTACCAGAATTTTCCATGTTAGCTCAGAAAAGCACTATTGGTGCAGAGTTAGACCTGAGATACCCCACATTAATTTTCACTGGACATTGAATATATGGAGTGGGATTGCCAGGAGAGGGAAAAAATTTTGCTTAGTTTAAGCAGATCTTTGCCTTCTGTGCTTGAGGATTCTGTAAGGTGGCACAGTTCCTGGGGTTTAGAATTCCTGAAGCACAGGCCTGGAGACCCTGCAGTGACCTAGGACATGCTAAGTCCCTGTTTCATCTTGATGATTTTTTTCCTGTTTATAGTAGTACTACATTTTCAATATAAAAAGATCAAACAGCATGTCATTATGTAATATAGTAAGAAAAAGTCCCTCAGAGATAATAACTTAACAATTTGGTGTATATTTTATTTAATTAAATTTTGTGCATATTTTATTTAAATTTTATGTAAATTGGATTGTACATAATGCCTTATAATTTGTTTTTTTAATTTAATAATGTCTTAGTTATCTTTCTGTGTCAGCAAATACAGCACTAAAATCTTTACTTCTTGAATGATATTCTACTGTATGACTATAATATGTATATATCTGTAGGTACACATATATATGCATTATTAATATATGCACATCATGTAATTTATTTAGCCAATTTATTAATGATGGTCATTTGTATTATTTTCTTTCTTTTTTTTCTTTTTGCAATTATAAAAATTCTCCTATGAACGTCCCTGGGAAAATTCAAATAATATGATACTGAACTCAAGTTGCAACATACGCATATGGAATAATATTGCATATAATTATGCAAAGGAAAGTGTCACAACAGATAAAATAGGACTAAAAAAATCCCAAAAAAGAGAAATTAATTATGGAGGGTAGGGCATGAAGATTCAATTAAACACTCTAGAATTCTTATCTAAAAGGAGATAATATGAGTAAAGGGTAAGAAATTATGATTGGTATTGATAGAGTAAGCACAAACTTGGCAAATTTTCAAAGGAAAAAAACCCTTTTATAAGTTTGGAACAAATCAACTTACATACTCTTTCACTCAGCTACAGTAAAAATATGGAACTTGTTATTTTGAGAAACTTTGTAAACTAGAGATATAAATAGCATAAGAAAGGTTTATATGCTATATCTAAAAACATATAACCTTATGAAAGTTAAATCTATAATGAATTATGGGAACATTAAAGTCACTCATGATACACTGCTACCCTTATAAAATCAGTGTAATGGAGGATATGTATATCTGTGCAACAAAATGTCACTGCTGCTGTCAAATAACAAAATGCTGGATTGAATAGACCATTTGTCTGGCCTGCTATGACATTTCTAATGTTTTTATATGATTCCCATCTTATTCTACCCATTTCCTGTGAAATGAAAGCTCCCAGAGTGACCTTAGGTTTTCCTTCAAATTGTAAGGATGAATATTGATAAGAACACAACTTACCTTAGGTTTTTAAATTTTCATTGTCATTTGTTACATTGATTATCATAAAATATTATGTTCACACATCTATGGGTTTTGTACTTGTATTTTAATGTAATAAAAGAACAAGATAAAAAAATGTCCTCTAGTTTTTTTGTTGTAGTGTTGTAATTATTTGTGTATATATTTACATTTCATAGACTATAGAAGACCCAGATACATTTGGATTGCAAAATATGATTCATCAGCATGTCACTACTTGTGATCCACTGAATGAAAAGAGAAATTCAAATCCAGTAGAAAATAGCTCTGACCAGAACACCCCTTGTGTGTTAAGGCGATCATCTAGACTGAAAGCAAGAAGAAATGCAGAACACACAGATGGCATGTATACAGTATTGGAAGAGATTTTACCAAAAATTCTTGACTGTAAGGATCAAACCAATAACTCTTCAGCTGAGAATTTCAGGTATGCTACCAAATTATATCTCTCCAAGTATGCTGAAGATCTCGTAGATAATTTTGTACTTGGGACATTAAAGTCAGTGTAGTTACCCATAAGTAAAGAATTTTATTTTAAAATGTTATTTTAGTGTTTTATTTTCTGTTAAGTTCTCAGAAAACTTCCTTTTTTTAAGACAAAGTAATGGGAAATTTATTGTATTATATCCTATGCTAATTTTTTATTATTTATTTATGTGTTTATTTTTATTGAAGTAACATTGGTATACATTATTATTTGTGTTTTAAAGGAATAAGAACTTCCCCTTCAGGTATTGTTACTACACCATCCCCCCCACCAAAGCACCCACAGTTTATTCCAAGAGTCAATTATGCTTCCTACTCACTTGTTCTCATTCTTCCCCCAGCTACCTCCCTCATCTTCTAGCCTCAATTCTATAGTCAACTTTCTAGGGTTTATTGTTATTTTGGCTTTATTTGGCCCTTTGTTTTGGTTCCCAAATGCCACATGTAAGTGACAGCATCCAGTTTTTGTCTTTCTCTTTCTGCAGTATATCACTTAGCAAAATACCCTCCAGCTCTATCCATGTTGCTGCAAATGGCAAGTGTTTATCTTTTTTTTAATACTGAGTAGTATTCTGTTGTATGTAAATATTCCATCTTGATCCACTGATCTGTATTTGGGCACTTAGATTGTTTTCATAGCTTGGCTATTGTAAAAAGTGTTGAAATGAATGTAGGAGTGCAGGTTTTCCTTCAAATTAGTGTTGTATTCTTTGGGCAAATACCTAGGGGTGGAATTGTTGAGTCACATGACAGATCCACTTTTAATATTTTGGGAAACCTCCATATTGTTTTTCATAGAGGCTGAACCAGTCTACATTCCAACCAAAAGTGTGTAAGGATTCCTTTTTCTCCACATCCTTGCCAGTACTAGTTGTTTCTGGTCCTTTTTAATATGGGACATTCTCACAGATGTGAGGTGATATCTCATTGTGGTTTTGATTTGCATTTTCAACACACCAGTTATTGAAGATTCTTTCATGGCTCCCGTGTATATTCTTGGTTCTTTTATTATAGATGAATGGTCCATATAGGTGTGGATTTATTTCTGGGCTCTTAATTGTATTTCATTGATCTGTGTGTCTATTTTTAGTCTAGTGCCATACTGTTTCGATTATTATAGCTTTATAGTATAGTTTGAAACCTGGCAGTGTGATTCTGCCATACTTCCTCATTTTGTCAGAATTGCTTTGGCTATTAGGGTTCTTTTGTGGTTCTATATAATTTTCAGTAATGTTTTGTTTCTCTGAAGAATGCTATTGAAACTTTGATAGGGATTACATTGAATCTGTATATTACTTTGAGCAAGATGACCATTTTCACAATATTTATTCTTCTAGTCCATGAGCAGGGAATATCTTTCCATTTCTCTGTGTCTTCTATTTACAATGTTTTAGTTTTCTTTGTATAGGTCCTTCCCCTCTGTTAAGTTCACTCCTAGGTATTTAATTCTTTTTGGTGTTATTGTAAATGGAATCGTTTCCTTAATTTCTTCCTCTAGCTCATTGTTTGTATACTGGGGAGGCAACTGAGTTCTATGTGTTGATTTTGCAGCCTGCAACTTGGCTGAACTGACTTATTGTTTCAATTAGTTTTTTAGTGGAGTGTTTGGGATTCTTTGTGTATATTATCATGTCACCTGCAATAATGATATCTTTACTTCTTTCACTATTTGGACTTCTTTATGTCCTTCTCTTGCCTAATGGCCTTCATTAGGACTTCCAAATACTGTGAAAGTGGATATCTTTGTCTTATGCCAGATTTTATGGAATATTTTTAGTTTTTCACCACTGAAAATGATGTTAAGTGTGGGTTTGTCATATCTGGCCTTTATTACATTGAGGAAAGTTCCATTAATCCCCAGTTTTTCAAGTGTTTGCATTATAAATGGATGTTGAATCTTATCAGATGCTTTCTTGGCATCTACTGACTTGATCATATGGTTTTTATCTCTCTTTTTATTGATGTGGTGAATTATGCTGATTGATTTTCAGATGTGTTGAACCATACTTACATCCCTGGTATAAATCCCACTTGGGCATGGTATCTAGTGTTTTTAATGCTTTGTTGAATTCTGTTTGCTGATAGTTTGTTGACAATTTTTGCATCTGTATTCATTAGGGAAATTGGTCTTTAGTTGTTTCATTTTTTTCCTGATTTTGCTATTAGGGTAATGTTGGCCTCATAAAATGTATTTGGAAGTATTTCCTCTTTCTCAATGTTTGGAAAGAGTTTGAGCAGGGTAGGGATTAGTTCATTTCTGAAGGTTTGGTAAAACTCACATGTGAAGCTGCCTGTGACTTTTGTCTTGGGAGATTTTTGACTGCTCTTTCAATGTCCTTGCTTTTAATTTGTCTGTTTGGGTTTTCTTTTTCTTCCTTATTCAGTATTGTTTTCCAGATCTTTACTCTGAGCTTGTGTGTATCTTTGGAGCTCAGTTGTGTTTCTTGGAGACAGCAGGAAGTTGGACTCTGTATTTAGTTGTTATTGTTTTTTTTTAAATCCAAACTGATACTCTGTGTCTTTTAATTGGTGACTTCAGTCCATTTACATTTAGAGTGATTATTGATATATGAAGGCCTACTATTGCCATTTTGTCCTTAATTTTTGTGGTTTTATTTCCTTGTTTAGTTATTTGTAGATGTTCTTTTTGATTTAGATAATAGAACTCCTTTCAAGATTTCTTGGAGGGGTGATACAGTGTTTGCAAATTCCTTCAGCTTCTGTTTGTCTCAGAAGTCCTTTATTTTTTCCTCATATTTGAAGTACAGCCTTGCAGCATAGAGTGAGCTTGACTGGCAGTTTTTATCTTTAAGATTTTGATCATGTCATTCTATTCTCTCATTGCCCATAGTGTTTCTTCAGAGAGGAAACATTTCTTCAGGAAGCCCCATTGGTGTTCCTTCTTCCCTCTAGCCAGCTTTAATATTCTTTCTTGTCTTGAATTCTTGGGAGTTTCACTACTATGTGTTTTGGTGTAGGTCTCATTTTATTACAGTACCGTGGTATTCTTTTTAGTTTTGTGTATTTGCATGTTTAATTCCTTCTCAAGGTTTGGGAAGGTTTCCTTTATTATCTTTTAAAATAATAAGATCTCTGTTTTCTATCTTCCTGTCTTGGTATATCCATTATACCTTTTTTGCCTTTCCTCATGGAGTATGACAATTCTTGAAGTGTTCTTCATTCTTTTCATCTCTCTCTTCCACCTTAATTCTTTGTGCATTATCATCCTTAAGGTCACTGATTCAGCCTTCCTTTTGATCTGTTCTGTTTGCATAGCTTCCTTTGGAATTTTTTAATTCCCTCTATTGATACATACTGCAACTCTGTTATTTTCCTATTTAAGTCTTTAAATCTTCTGTTTGTTCACTTTATTTCTCAGGACATTCATCTATTTTTCTGAACTTTCTTCCATTTCTTCATTGTGGCAATTTTGAATTCTGTATTTGATAGGAAGAAAATGTCTTTCATGTCCTTTTGGTTGGGATCTAGGTATTTGTTCTCACTCTGTAGTGTAGAATTCCTCTAGGAGCTCAGATTGCCAGTTAATGGTCTTTATTTTCCCCATTATTTACTTTCTGAAAACTAAGGGTGTTAAACTTCCACTTTTCCAGCAGATGGCACTATGCAACAGGGAGAGCTAATCTCTAGCTGACTCTTCAGTGAGTGGGATCAACAAAGGGTCTGTTGCTTTCAGGGATGCTGTGCTGGTGCTGGTTTGGCTTGTTCCAGTGTCCGCACTACTGGTGAGACTCAGACTGGTATCTCCACAGTTTGCATGATGGACCCTTTGTGCAGCCCTGGTGCACTCCAGTGTGGCCTTATTATATTCACTTGGACCTGTATCTGCCTATATCCACTCGCTCTTGGGGGAACTGGGTGGGGTGAGCTGTGCCTTTCTGAACTTTATTTTCCTCTGTGGATGTCCTCTGCCTGCCCAGCTCCCCATGGCACTCATGCCCATATCTAGCCTTGACTACATCTTCAACATTCAGCTTTGCCTTCCACAGGTGTAGAGATGAACTGTAATTTCTGCCCTGATTGCTGCCTCTCTCTCTACTCACCCTTTGTTCTTGTGAGGTGAAATTTCTCTTCTATTGTGCTTGGTCAACATTTGATTTTGATTTTTCGTTTCTCTGATGAGTAGGTGACGTTAGCACCTTTTCATTTACCTTTTGGCCATTTCTAAGTCTTCTTTGGGAAACTATCTGTTCAGATTCTTTGCTCAGTTTTTAGTCAGATTGATTATTTCTATTGCATTGTATGAAGTCTTTATTTATTTTGGATCCTAACCACTTATTAAATTTGATTTTCTCCCATTTGTTAGGTTGTCTTTTCCTTTCATTGTTAATTTCATTTGCTGTACAGAAAATTTTTTAATTTGATATAATCACACCTGTTTATTTTTTCTTTTTGTTGCCTTTGCATTTGGTGTCAAATCTAACATATCATTGCCAAGATATGTTAAGATGCTTGCCTCCTATTTTTTTCTTCTGGGAATTTCATGGATTTAGGTCTAAAGTTCAACCTTTCAATCCATTTTGAGATTTTTTTGTGTGTCTGATATAAGGTCATGGTTCAGCTTCATTTTTTTTACATGTATGTGATTCTTCATTTTTTTCCCCAGCACCATTCATTGATGAGAATATTCTTTCTTCGTTGTATACTCTTGACTCCTTTGTTGTAAATTAATGGACTGTGTGTGTGTTGGTTTATTTCTGACATCTCCATTTTATTTCTCTCTGTGTTCTGATGCCAGTATTTTGTGGTTTTTGATCATGGTAAGTCCTTTTTTTTCCTTGCAAAATGCCTCCCCCTTTCTCCCAAGATGATGAAGAGAGTGGCATACCAACTTGGAATGAGGGAACAAGAGACTCAGAATACACAGGTGACTGCCCTAAAGGAGAGAAACCCACGAGTGCAAAAAGAGAAGGCTAGAAACCATAGTGAATGGCACACAACCCCAAAATTATCTGTAGTTTACTTATGAATCATCTCCATATTTAAACCTGCCATGATGCTTGACAGCATTTCAGTAAAATATCTTTGAATTTTAAAAATTTAGTTAAAATTTGGTTTGATTCTCTGAATGCTTATAAAGAACATGACAGTAATTAAAAAAAAATTTACTTTTCAAGAATGCATGATCCTACTATACTGATTGAAGGTAAAGAAAAAAATAAAAATTCATCCAGACTGAAGAGTGGAGAACTGATCAGAAAAAACAAAAAAATTGCAGAAAAATATGGTGAGGCATATTTTGAGTATTCCCTTAAGTAAGTAACTTATACAAACATAGAGTTACGGTACTAGGAAGGATTTAAATGGTTATCTGCCCTGAATTTCTCATTTTGTTGAAGAGGTTCAGGTAAGTATTTTTTCTGGCATTGTATACAGTTCATTTATAACATAGGGAGGATTGTTTTTAAACTTCTTATGAGCTCATTTTACTACTTCTACTTTGGAGAGAATAATTACAGAATCCTTTTCAAATTTAAATATCTGAAATATATGTGGTGTGACCAAACTATCATAAGACTGAAAAAATCATACAAAGAAGTATAGAAAAGGAGAAGACAAAATTATTATTTTCGATGTTACTTTGTGTTTCTGTAAATGTTCAGCAGCTGGTTTGTTTCACAGTACAACTGAATGGAGTGCATCAAAAAAAAGGCAAAGCAGTTAAATTGTGGTCCATTAAGAAAGCTACTGCAGTACTCAATTACCTTTGTGATGTTTTAGGTTGGGGCAGGTTAGTTGCTAGATCAAAATTGGAAAAGCTATCAAAACAATTCTGAAATTCAAGAAAACTACATGAATATTGAACAGAAAATTTGACAGAATTAGAAGTACCTCACTGACTATTATCAAAGTTTTAAAAAGCACAGAAAAAAAATTGATACTTGATATGCATCCACTGGAAACTTATTTTAATTGTGTATTTCCTAGCTTTGAATATTACAGCAGTTGTACAGATTAGGTATGATTCTTTGTTTAATTTCATGACAGCTATTTTTAGCAAAGAAAGAAAATTTAGCTTTCTTTTTTCTGGTTTCAATGGGGTTACTTTTTGCATCTTCCTTATATACTGCTAAGATTTTCTCATGTATTTTATAAGATGTTTTGGTATGATAACATTTTGTTAGGTTTAATAGCATCTAGTTATTAATTTAAATAATCCTTTTTACCAGAACTTTAAAAGCATGTGTTAGTTTTCTCATATACACACCTTTCAAGGGGTTTCATTTAATATAAACTGATTACATGACTTGTAATTAATTATAAATATTTTAAAGCTAATGACATTATTTCTTATGCCTTCATATATGTATATACTAGTATACTAGTATACTAGTTGGGTTAATGGGTGAAATGTTCTTTTGTAGCATAGTGTACACTGTATTAGAATGTTGACTGGATCCACTCTTTTACTTGTTTTCCGATTTTCAAATGAGGACTTTTTCCTTCTTTTGTTCATTCTCTCATTTCAGAAAAAATGAAGATGGATAAAATATCTCTTTCTACCATTAACCGGAGAAATATTTTTGGAGAGAATCTGGTCTATAGGGCTGCTCTTCATAATGACAGTGATTTTGTTCGTCATTGTATAAAAAAAGGTGGAAATGTTAATCAACGAAGTTATGCTGGTAAGTGGGGCTGCTGCCCAGTTACCTTGACAGTGGTTTGTAGTTTCAGCTGGGTCATTCCTATGAAATTATGGTGAAGTGGGCCTAAGGCAAGTCTCACACAAAGCTTCCAGGTACTTTTCCTGCTTTAGGTAGGGCTTCATGATCATACCCCAGGCAAGTGGAAAGGTGGGAGAGGATGGAACACCACAAGAACATATTTCACCTTCAAAGGCTATACTTGACAATGACCATCCAGTTACCATCCATGTACAGTGGCATTAGGGTGGGGTTCAGAAGGATAGGGCAACTGGGATTAGCTAGCTGGGTTTGCTTGGGCATTGTTATTATGAGACTCAACTTTGAATGGAAGAGGAATGAAGTAAAAAAAAAAGCTAAAAGAAACTGATGGTACCCTGAGTTATGGGGGAATTAATGATAAAATGGTAATAGGGTTATTAAGGTACAAAGGAAATCATCCCACACCCCTCTGTGTTCTTCTTGGGCTGGACAAATAATCAAAACAGCATTAGACAAGTTTGCAAAAGAAAAAAAATAACATATGGAAAATTCACATGACTGTAACTTCTAAAGAATAATCGAGCAGACCATGATTATTTGTCCTGCACTTTAGGACCTGGGGCATTACAAAGGCAGAGAGGATTCTTCATATGACAGACACAAAGGGCAGGTGACTTCATCCTTACTCTGAGAATAAAGATAATTGTTAGAGAGAACATGATTATTGATGTACTGATAAACACAATGAACCTAGAACTGGATGAGACAACCCCCACCCCCCAAACTACCTTCTTCTGGGTCATAAAAGGAAAAGCAGTGATTAATTCTTTGATTAGGAAAAGGGCAGAAGCTTAGGAGGTATTCATCTCCTCTTCCATTAGGGAGGGACAAGAATTTGGGCAAGAACAGAACCTTCTCTTAGCCTTCAGAGCCTTTCTGCTCTCAACCCAAAACAACCTGCATTCTATAAATAATAATAGGTCTCCTGAGACTCAAAGAACCCTGATTGACCTGTAATTCCCATACCTGAGATGATAAGAGACCTTCTCTGGTTCTGTTGAAGAAAGTCTATTGGATCCTGTTGAAAAGGGACTGACCCCATAGGACAATGATCAAGGAAATGGTGGGACAGAGCACTTGGAACAACAATTCTGTGAGATTTGATCTCTAGTACACTCTTCCTTGTGGGAATAACCAGACATGTTCTCCTAGAGAGGAATGATTACTTACAGGCACTTAAGTATTTAAGGCACTAGGCCAGCCTGCAACAGTTGTTTTATATGTTTATGCTTTTATCACTGTTTCTAGACTTTCTCAGTTTATGAAACGGTGCAAAAAAATCTTATGGTGTGCAGAGATTGACCTCATAGTCCATGGACAAGCAGGTGCACCTCAGGCAGTTACTTTAGCACAGCTTGTATTTATACTGTGATCCTGGTTTTATTAGGCTGTTATTCTAAATCTCACACCCAGGTCATCCACCATGGTCCTGTAACTCTCAATCTAGGATTCTTATTTGCAGTGAAAACGTTTACTCCCTTAATTTTAAGAAATAAGTGGTTCTTTCTGTTGGGATTCTTTATTAGCTGAATATAATCTCAACTATAGACAAGGAGTTTATTAGATACTCAAAGTGAGGATTTAAACCTGGGGTACAGTCTGACAGATTTTACTTTGTAAGAGGTGTTCCAATAAACACAGGTTTGAATTTAGTTTATATAGATAGGAACAGTGAGTCATATTTAGTCTTTGACCTATAAAAACCACAGTGAGATACCACCTCATTCCATTGAGAATGGCCTATACCCAAAAGACCAACAACAACAAATGTTGGCAAAAATGAGGATGTGAGGAAAAGGAACCCTAGTATACTTTTAATGGGAATTTACACTGGTCCAGCCCCTAGTGAAAACACTATGGAGGTTCCTCAGAATATTAAGAATATATCGTATGAGCCAGCAATTCCACTCCTAGATAACCTCCTGAAAAATACAAAGTCACTAATTTAAAAGGATATATGCATTCTTGTGTTCACTGCAGCACTATTTATAATAGCCACATTATGGAAACATACTAAGTACTCAGTGACAGAGCAATGGGTTAAAAAATAGTTTTCTTGGAGCAGTTTGTGGTTTGTGAGTTAAACTCTTGTATATAGTTTTTGCTAATATATACACACACAATGGAATACTACTCAGCTATAAAAAATAGGAACTCATCATTTGTGACAACATGGATGGAATTAGAAGAGATTATGCTAGGTGAAATAAGTCAGAGGACCAAAAAAAAAAAAAACATGCTGAATGATTTCACTCATGGACTATAGAGAAACAAAACAAAGGAACTGACAGAACTTAGCCAAAACAAACCCTAGAAATATGACTGCAGAGTTGAGGATGCTAGAGGGAGAGGGAGGATAGAATGGGAGCAGAGGGGTAAAGGGGCCCAATTATCTTAGGTAAAGCACTGTGGGTGCTTTGGTGGTAGGTATGGTTTGGTGATATACTCTCAAAATGAAGAGAAAACTATCAAATGTTATATGTACTGTACACCTAGGTCAGAGGAATCATCTCCTTAAGTAGTTAGAGCCTGTATTGCCACTAGTCTTCACTCTGGCTATTTCTTTTTAAAGGTGCTATAAGCTTAAATTTGGTATTGTGAAACATTCTCTACTACTCTCCAAAATGGTTCAAATACACTAATTTTTCAAATTTTTCATACTTTTTACTCTGGTTAGAATTAATTATTCCAATTAAAAAAAAACCTATTGACTATATAATTTACCTTTTTTGGTGCCCTTCATTATTTCCTCAATAAATAATAAACTTTCTAATAAATACTATAAAAAACTCCTGTCATGTTTATGGAAGTTGTCCTTAGCTGGGTGATTTTACCTCCCAGGGTACATTTGGCAGTTTCTGAGATAGTTTTTAGTAGTTACAACTGGGATGGAACGGTGCTACTGGCACCTGGTGGATTAAGGTCAGGGACACTGCTAGACGTTCTATAATGTGTAGAACAAGAAGTATCCCACCCAAAATGTTAGTGCCAAGATTGAGAAATTCTGGTTTATGGAGAAGGTATGAAAAGATTTAGTGAAATACACTTTTAACATGCCACTTTTAAGTTTTCTTAGATCAATCTTGATTTGTTGGAATTTAAGAAATATCTGTAACATCATTATCTCTGGCTATCAAAGAAAAAGGATATGTATTAGATGACTGGTTTTCTTAGAGCCGTTTGTGGTTTGTTAGTTGAACTACTGTAGATAGCTTTTGCTAATAAGAATAAAAAATTCTTTGAACTGACTTCTGAGTAGTCCTGTCAGCCTGGCTACTTCAATGGAAATACCTTGAACTGAAAGTAAAAGTAACCCCCGCCCTTTCCTACATGAAAGTAACTTGCTGCCAACATTGTCTATGAGCTAATAATGGCTCCCTTAAAGCTGCCTTATTGAGGGGAAGAATAATTTCAATTATTTTACTTCCTTTCATATTTTTCTGAGCTAACATTATTAAAATGCCAAGTACAAACAGATGCCATTTCCATTTTCTGTATGAGGTTGGACAGCACTTCATGAAGCTAGTGTAAGAGGATTTTATCAGACTGCAAGTGAACTATTAAAAGGTGGAGCAGATGTAAATATCAAAGGAATGTACCAGATCACACCCCTACATGATGCTGTGATGAATGGACATTATAAGGTACTGTGATGCTTTTGCTTGCAGAACAAACACTACATTCTGCAACTATTAAAAAATTACTGGACCAAGTGACAAATCACTGTTAAAGTGTTTCTTTTAGGGAAAATGAACATGTTCCAAAATTAGATTGTGATTATGGTCATGCAACCTTCTTAATATACTTAAAAAAACTGAATTATATTCTTTAAGTGGGTCAGTTGTGTAGCATGTAATTGTATCTCAATAAAACTGTTAAAAATAAAACATGGAAAAGTTGGAATTTGAGAATTATACATGATATGCTCAGCGGTGGTTCCTTAGAAAAAAACAGGAACAAATTATTAAACATGCGGTAGGAGACATTTAGGCAAGAATATAGTGATCTTTGAGAATGTGTAGGCATCACTCAAACAAGTCATGTTAGAATGACTTTGTTTCCCCTTTTATAAGACTTACTTTGTTTGTAGAATGTGCATAACAAGTTAGTGTAAGCTATCATGATTAAATAGAGCTTTTATTTGATGAAGTGTCCTGTGACATAGGAGTATTTGAGACATTGAATTGGAAGTTGGTTGACAATGGTATCTAGTTTCACATATATTAAAAAAATATCCCTCAGACTAGTGATTATTTGTTCCATGTGTGTTTGGAATGAACTCTCTTGTGAAGTTTTATTAGCTATTCTATTCATTACATAGTCTGTTCCTATAAAACAGTCAGATCACTTCTACAGGCTGGAACATAGACTTTTATTTGTTGTTGGGTGTATATTGTGAAAATCAGACAGCACATCATTTTACCTGCATCTCTAAGAGATAAGGATATTTTTCCACACTCACAGTATCAGCTCACCTAATGAAAATTAAAAGTTTCTTAATACCATTTAATACCCAGTCCATATTCAAATTTCCCAGGTTATCTAAAAATATCTTTTAAGATTTTATTTATTTATTTATTTATTATTTTTACTTATTTTATTTTATATATATTTTACATTATTTTTCATTTTTGCACAATGTATGCATTTTCATATTGGTTATATTCCCCATACAATTCCCACCCCGCTTATTTTGACCCTAATCCCTCCTCCTCTCTACCCCCATAGTGAGTCTTTGGTTTATAGCTGCTTGTTGATTTTGATTTTTACTTTATTATAATTACTCTTTTTCCTGATCCCTTATTTAGGTTTTCTAAATTTCTGCTTTCTATAGCAAGTATGTGTTTAAATGGGGATACATAAAGATCCATGCATTTCATGTGTTTGTTATATCTCTTTAGTATATTTTCACATATAAATGTCTCTCTCTGTCTGTCTCTCTGTACACACACATACACACACACGTCTTCTAGAACCTGGGTCATTTATCAATATAAATTCTGGATTTGGTTAATTTTACCTTTGTTGTATTGTATAACTTTTTCCCCTTGTATTGTTGGTAAATGGATGTTTTAAGGGAAAATCTATTTAGAGGTCACCATCTAGGTGAGTTCATTGCTATTTGGCATCATTGCTTTTAGGCATTTTTAGTGAAATACATGTTTTTGGAAAGAAAAATCATGAGTGCACACTGATTTCTATTTCAAACTTAATATAGATGTACAGATGTATACAAATGTATACTAAACTTTGATTTTACACTTATATCTCTTTATGTTAAATATTTGTTCTTAATTTATAATCCTTTTTCTTTATTGTATACTATACTTACAATATTACTGCTAGTAATATTGTTATTATTAATATTATTAACATTGGAACTATTAATGGAGGGGGTTTTGTTTTGGTAGTTCTTTTTATTTTGTTTATATGTCCTGTTAGGGACAAATAGTCAAAATATTATCTTCTCAAGTACTTGAAAGAATTTTATTCTCTACTGGGGGTGGTAAAAAGAAGGCATGATACAGAGGAATATATACAGTATATGAGTACTTTTGTGAAAAAATATGTATATATCTATGTATACACACACACACACACACATAATATCCCTTTTTGACCAGATTATGGAAAATTTAGCAGAAACAGTGACCAGAACTGATTCAGGAAAAAATAATTGGATGACTGGAGACCAGGAGTATATGAGGGAAACTTATTTTGAAGAAAATCATAAAATTCCTCTTCAGAAATAAATTAATTTAAAAAATGGTCCCATCCTGAAAAAAACAAAAACATAGGAAAGACATATATAAGAATTTAATATAATGTAGAGGATACAGGGTACTATGATAAGATATATACATGAAAAAAGATATATACATGCGAGGTCATTTTTATCTTGGGCAGCAGAGGATGAGGAGTTCAGGGGTAGAAGTTACATGAGAAATGGTAACAAATTAAAGAATTTACCAGTTTTTCTCTGATAAGCCAAGGAAGAGCAGCAACCACACAGTTATAGATGGAAAGCATAACTATCTCTTGGAACATATTAAAATTAATTTTACTACCTCAGGACCCAATCCTGGTATATCTATTAGGTTTATTTCACCAGCAACTGAACCACAACTCCCTCCCTTTTTTTCATTCCTCTCTCCCTTCCTGCCTCTCCCTATCTCTCTTTTTTTGGTTGTTGTTGTTATAAGATGGAATAGTGGATCAAAAATTATCCTATGGCAATTATGTAACATTAATTATATTTTATTGGGCAGAGCTATCTAGGTGAACCCAAATTCTGTATTGTTGAAGGAAATATTTAATGTTACTTAGAGTTGCATGCTAGCATATATTTATAATAATAGACCTTTTGTCTGGGTGCCCTTGGGTAAACATTCTTCCTCTAGGTGGCTGAGTTACTTCTTTTGAATGGAGCTGATCCATTACTTAGAAGTGATAATGGAAAGTGTGCTTTGGACAAGGCCAAAGATTCACGTATGAAGCGTCTCCTTGAGAGATATGTTCCTAAACATCAAAAACATCTTACATCAGGTAAGGTTAAACTGCCCTGTTATATCTGTTCATCATTTTGGTAGAAGCGTAATGTAATCAATGTAGAATTATAGAAATTAAATTGATTTTCCTCTTAAATTTTGAGCAAATCTAACCAGTGGTGTCCTCTCACCGTTCTTTCAATAAAGCATACCATTTGCAGTTGCACACAAAAATGTAATATCAAATATACTTTCCCCCATATTACATCTAGAAGACATTTACCCACTTATACCTTCCTCTGTCAAACATTCATTGAATATCTTCTATGTGCAAGGCACTGTTTCTAGGTTTTATCTTTTGTGACCAAATCCATTCTTAGCTGCATACCCAATGCAGATCCACCTTCAGTATTTAAAAGAGGTACTAAGAGACACTACTTTATCAACTTATATTTATAATTTTCAAATATCTCTTTTCTTTCCTATGCATTCTCAAGATTTGCCTTTTCAGTGAATGTTTCATTTTTAAAAGAGGAAGGATTCAAACTAGAACCATAATAGGTTCTAAAAATATGCCATTAAGCAGCCATATTAGGAAATGATAATCTGATTAATTGTGAAAGAATTTTTTGCCTTACAAAGGTAGTTTGCACACTGTTACATATCTGATATATCTGTGGGGAATGTAAAAAGTGCTGTGCTCATCTTTGGTGTTATTTTGTTGGGTCTGTTTTGCTTTTCCTACAGAATTGTTTTCAGCACTCTTAATCATACTTGGTTTCTATAAATATGGGAATTCTAAATTATATGAATATTTGCCAATTTCGGTAGAAAATGTTTGGCTGGTTTCACTTTGTTTTCATGTGGTAAAGGATTTATGGATTTAGAAGTGGAGAGTTCTTACCAAAGAAGGCTATTTTCTTTCATTTTCTGTTTTTCTTTATAGCTCAAAAGAATAGCACTGATCTGTTAGATGTAGAGGATACACACCAACACAAGGTATAGCTCTCTTTTACAATAAACATTTTTATGGAATAAACCCACTGTTTTTTTTTTTTTTAATAGATCATCAGAAGGAAAAGATTGCAGTTAGTATTCATCATGAATAGTGATTTCACCTTTGTATTTAAGATACTTTGGAATAATTCCGTGAGAATCAGAAGGTTCTGGGCTTTCATTTGGGATCAGTAGGATAAATGTAGTGTATCTGGGTACCCTAATATAGTGCTAGCTGTTTCTGTTCTCTTCTGTTTCATGCAATCTTAAGGTTTATCAACCATGTCAAATTGACCCTGGTCTAAGCATGGTAAAAGAGTCAAAGGCATCAATTCGCCCCTTCAAATCCTACGTGGTGGGCAGTTATTCTTCATCTGGTGCTGATGATTGAGAGGAAGCAGTGTCCCTGTTTTAATCTTTGCAGCCCACAGTGGTCCATACACACCAACTTAAGAGCTTACCTGCTTCTTGTTTTTAAGTCTCTTCTTCCACTGTCCTACTTACAGTTTCTCACAGATACTAGGAGAAGAAAGTCTTAATTTTACCTCTATCTATATAACAATTGGGAGAGGAGAGTGTTTCTAAAACATTCTTGTAGAACAAGGACACTTTTAATTTTTAATTCATAAAAATTAAGCAGATAAAGTTTTTTATTGTTTAGTAAGATTAAAAGTGTGAAAATACTGGCAAAAAGAAATCAAAATGTACAGCAGAAAGATTTGTACAATACCAAATCTGAGTATTATATTTACCTTCTATCAATCTACTTTTCTGAAATAGAAAATGTGTTTTATATATATATATATATGTGTGTGCAAGAAACATATATAACATATAACCATAGACCCTATGGTTAGATTCAAAAGTAAAATTCAGTGGAATAATAACTTGATTTATCAACCATTCAGAATGATTGACTGTAGAACTTCATCTAAAAAATTAAAGCTAACTGTATATTTTGTTTCTATAGAAACCAAAATTCAGTTCTAAAAATTGCGTTGAGTTCATTTGTGATGAACAGTCCAACAGACAGAAACCAGAACATGTTAAAGTTGATAATGGAAGCAGAGAGAGTTTATTTGTAAGTGAAGAAGATATATATGAACATTTCCAAGAAGATTCCAGAAATATAAGACTCGGTACATCCAAGCATAAACAATCAACTCTTAACCAGAAATACCCAACAGAACTCAGAAAGAACAATCTCCGTGTCAAAGATCCCAGCACAAATGTATCTACAGATAAAGGGAGAAGAAACATACAACATAAAAGCACTCAGGTAGATGATGAAATCCAAGAAAACAATCCAAGAAAGAATAGTGCTGTCTCTTCTTCCAGTTCATCAGCAACATATTCTCATGAGCAACATATTCTTCAAACCATCAGTGACCTTCCAGAAGAGTCATGTAAACCTTCTAGCTCAGCTCTGTTAAACCTGAAAAATGGGTTAGGTAATAATATTGAGATTTGTTCAGTTTCCAAGGAGACATGTACTCAGAGCCTGAATTCATCAGATATTGGTCAAGAAATAAAGTTCTTGGAATTAGGATCCACTGACCAAACTGAAGCTATTTTTTTCTCCGGACTTTCTTCACATAAAGGCATTGAATTACCACTCATTAATACAGAACAGCTGCCTCACACTCACAAAGGACAACAGCAAATTAGCCATTATAAATCTTATGAAAATAGTAACTTAGGTCAAGAAGATGGGAGCCTTAGTAAGAGGGAAGACTCTTTCCCATCTTTCATGGAGGAAAATTTTAATGGTGACAATGGTGATTGTTGTACCTCTGAGATAACTATAACATCTGAGAAGATGGTAAGTTCTACAGCTTACAAAAACCACTATAATCCTAAAGAGACTATAACAAATAGAGTTAAAATGGATTTTCAGCAGTTTTTACTTTTTGAAGACCATTTTTCACAGGAAAATGAGTTTAAATCAGCTAGCCTAACCAAACTCCCACAACAGGAAGCTGTTAATTTTTCTCATTCAGATAATACAATAGTTTCTGAAGAACATGTTACAAATTATGAACAATACATGAATGTAATTTCTTTTGATCACTCAAATGGCAATCCTGAGAATACTTCCTTCACTTGTACAAAAACACTTTCAACACATGAAGTTTCACCGTTGACTGGTCATGTGCAGCTATTCACAAGGACTCAGGATTATAGTCCCAGGGTACCAACTCCTTTAATGAATCAAGCAGACACACGTATTGTGGAAAAGGTGAATAAGAAAGAAAAGACTAAAAGGAATTACACAGACAAAGGCCAAAAAACAAGTTTTTCAACTAGGTCTTTATCCACAGTTTTTTCTCCTCAAGTAACTGAAACAGCTGAAGTTGAAAAAGGGGAACAAGACCTTTCAGATAGCAACACCATACATAATAGAGATTTTCATTTTACTGACAGCCTGGATAAAAAATTGACCAACATCTCACAACATAGTCAAAGAGAAGAGAAAGAATGCTCTCTCAAACCAGGTACTGGTAGTGCTGCTCCATTTGTATGTATTTTTCTATAGGCTATTTGTTTTATAGACCAACTGATGCCCAAACTGACAAGAATAAGGATATTGGGCCATAATTTGGAGATGCTGCTAATTATTTAAATGATAGTGTTTATTTTGAAAGTCAAACCATTATAATAAAAGATGATTGCTAAACTGATATGGGCAGAAGTTAGTAAATAACTATTTCTATCAATTTTGTTTCTTTTAAGTATGTCACTTATTTAATATCAGGCAATCCAACATTTTCAAAGCAGGAAATTGTTAGTTCCATTGATATCAATAATTCACTGTATTCCCAGCAGAATTGTATCTAGCAACTTTTGTTTTTTATATAAAAATATTTTTTAATGCCTTCCATTCCCTCACAATGGTATAGCTAGGAATAGATACTTGGAGCAGTTACATAATTAGATCCTTTTCTAGTCATGTAACCAGTAAGAAGAACTACAACACTGATAATGCAAAATTTTTATTTTTCAGATGAGCAGTTAACTAATAATACCAATGAAGATGAAAGCACTGTGAGAAATTGTGAGGAGAAAGAAGAAAAAATAGATTCAGAAATTCACATGCCTACTTATATCCAAGGACACAAAAAAATTCAAAATGTCAGAAAAAGACAAAATACCTTAAAAACTACCTACAGCCAAGGTTTGTATTCGTATACTTATATGGGTAAAAATTCATACAGTCAAGCCTAGCTATCCACTGTCTGTCAGGGCATTTTAAACTTTCAGATCATTTTCTAAATTACAAGATTATTTCAGTTGCATTTGTCAACCAAAAGATGGTTTTACCATAAAGCACCTCTTAAGCATCTTTTAGTCTCCACATACATTCTTGTTATACTTCTGACTTTGATTTCTAATTTGTTATGTTAGAGGAGATAAACAACAGAGACAGCCAAGATATTGAGTGGGAGCAGCAAGGGTGATCTCTGTCAGATACCTTCCACTGAACCCTTGTAACAAAGAAAATTGAAGGAACATAGTGCTAGTTTCTTTGTGTTAGATTAATAAATTGTATGTGTTTGGTAGTATGGGCAAGCTAGCTTATCCTTTGACAGTCCTTGGAGCTAGCACTGTGGTGAAGAGTAGGCTGGGGCACCTCAGGATAAATATTAAACATTGAAAAGTGATTTACCTACTGTCTAATAAGAAGTAGGAAGGATAGTGGACTAGGGATTCTCTGTGGACATTCCCCCAATTGCTCCTTCTCCTATAAACTGAGCCCTTCTATACATACTTCTATGTAATGGATTGAATAGTAGCCCCCAAAGCATATGTCCTTGTTTTAATTCCTGGAATCTGATATTATCTTATATAAAAGAGTAAATATTACCTTACTTAGAAAAAGTATCTTGCAGATGTAATTAAGTTAAAGTTCTTGAGATCATCCTGAGTTCCCAGATGGGCCTGGAACTAGAGATGTGTCCTAATAAAAGGAAAAAAAAAAAAAAAAGAGAGAGCCTCATAAAAGCAAAAGAAAGAGCTCTGAGACATTCCAGAGAGAAGACAATGTGAAGATGGAGGCCAAGGAGCAGTATGGCCAACAATGACTGATCTTCACCAGAAGTTAGAAGAGACAAGGAAGGATTCTTCCTTAAAACTTCCAGAGGAAGTGCAATTTTACTGAAGTAAAACCAATCTCCTCTAAGTTAGGAAAACCCAGTCATGTGTCCTGTGATCATAATGTGTTTACTGCAAGGAAGTGTCCTTTGAGCTGGTCAGCCATGGGTGTGTTGGATGCCTGACTGTTACAGAGCAATCCCAGGGGAAAACAGGGTGACCTAGGTGTCAATCCTCACTGATGCAGTTAAGAACTCAGGACAAGACCCAGAGAAAAATGGAAAGAAAAAAAAGTCTATTTACAAGGGGAATAAGAAAAGTGAAAGGGGAAAGAGAGGGAGATGGAGACATGTCCCACCAGCAATGTTGTCTGAGCTGACAGCTCAGGATGCAAGTTGAAGCTAGAAAAGCAAGAAAGGCCCAAACACAGATGTGTTCAGTTGTGAGTCAAGCGTGGCTGCTTAACTCCACCTCTAGTTAACTCTTCTCCATCAGTGACTTTCCAGTTACCCAAAATATGTTGATATCTTTGTCCTCTATTATTTCCTCTTCTATTTTCTTTATATGGCATTTTAAAATACTTGTTTTAGCATGGTTTTGGGAGGAGATGAGCAAAAAATGTAGTCAGTTTACTATTTTTAGCTCCAAATTAAGTCTCTAATTTGTGTTGCAAAAAAAGATTTTTAAAAATCTTTAGAGAATGAGACTGGATTGCATTTTTTAATGACAGAACTATTTAAAAACCAATAGGCCAAAGTTGAGTTCTTGGCATATTATGTGGTCAGAAAATATACCCATTGAATTAGAGAATAGCTGTAGAAACTTTTGTGTTTTTTTTTTAATAAAATCACAATCTGTTTTAAGAGAAATTTTAAGATGTTCAACATCACTAGTCATCATAGAAATGCAAATCAAAACTATAATGAGAAGTCACCTTATATCTGTTAGAATAGCTTTTACCAAAAAGACAAGAAATAACAAGTGTTAGTGATAATATGGGAAAAAGGAAACCCTTTGGCAATTGGTTATGTGAATTGGTGCATCCATTATGGACATTCCTTAAAAAAATTAAAAATAGGGCCTCCCCGGTTGCGCAGCTGTTGAGCACTGGGTTGCGAAGCTGCCCGCAGCCTCTGCAGCACCGTTCAATCCCCGGCTGCTCCCTGGCCACCAGAGGAGGGTCCCACATGGCGCACAGACCTCTCCTGCCGCCCGCTGCTCCCCTCAGCAGTGTACTTCGGTCCTTCTGCCTGCTCTGCTCCCCGCTCTGGCTCTGGTGAATTCTCTCACCCTCCCGCGCTTCTGACTGTACGCAGTGCTTGTATAAATAAATAAATAAATAAATCTTTAAAAAAAAAAAGAAAACCTGCACTGTGCCCCTTCCTGCCCCTACAGTCTCCAGTTCTACTTTATGTGGAATCTAAAAACAAACAAAAAGCTCATAGATAACAAAAAAACAGGTTGTTAGAGGCACATGGTGTAAAATGGTGAAATAGGTTAAGGAGATGAAAAGGAACAAACTTCCACGTATAAAATAAGTAAGTCATGGGAATGTAATGTACAGCACAATGACTATAGTTAATAATACTGTATTGCATATTTGAAAGTTAAGAGTAAATCTTAAACCTTCTGTATGGGGATGGATATAAGTAGAATAATTGTGATCATTTGTAATATATGGAAAATTAATATGTTGTACACCTGAAACTAGTATGTTTTATGTCAGTTATACCTTGGGAAAAGAAACCCATTGCTAAAAGAATACTGAGTGAAATGAGTGTAGAACTCAAGCAGATTTGTTTGGTTTAATCAAGCTCATGATAGAATCACTAAACAACTAGAGTGCATTTAATACTGCACTTAGGTGCTCAATAATATTTTTTCAAGTTATATTTTATAATAGTAACCGCATTGATAGTATTAATGACATGTGTTTCAGTATATCCTACTTAGGATATTTAAAGGAATTTGCTGTATATATTTTAAGTTTTTTAATAATAAGCAGTATTTGTCAGCAAAAAAATCTTAGTTTTGTTTGGTAAATTTACAGAAGTGAAAGCAGCTGGAATCAATAAGAGAAATGCCCGAGGGGAGAGCCGGCTTCATTCAGCTGCTAGAAGAGGAAATTTGTCTCTGGTGAAAGTTCTAATAGAATCTGGAGCAGATGTGAATTTAAAAGATAATGCAGGTTTGGATTCTTTTAACTTTAATTGTCTTTATAATTTGAACTCACTGAAATACACATTTCATCCCCTACCTCCAATTTTGATCCTGGTATAACTGCTTACTTTGAACTATCTTTTTTATAATATATTATTATTTCGTTGGATTGTAAGATTTATTTGGGTCCTGTAAAGGCCGGACTGACCACAGTGCAGGTTTTCTGATCCCATGCAGACCGGGTAAAGGAGGAGTCAGAGTCCTCAGTGATTTTGCAGGTTTTTTATTGGGGTTCACCAGGCATATGGCAGGCAGGGGTGCTGGCTGGGGGGCTGGGAGGCTGGCAGGCCTGCCAGCCTCCCAGCCCCCAGCAAGTCTTCACTCTATCTGAGCTCTCTGGAGTTCGTTCTGCTGCTTCTCAGTTTCTCTTTCGGCTTCGGCTTCTACTGCTGCTGCTGCTGGCGTCCCTGTGATGCCGCCCTTAAAAGCACAGTCTTAGCTCAGCTGAATCCCATCTACCTATGCCCACACCCTATTCTAGGTGCCCGCCATCAGGCATGCATTCAGGACAAGGATCCATCATCTATCCTGATGGCGGAAGGGCAGAAAAGCCTGATATTTTCTTACCCTACAGGTCCCTACCAATTGCTAAAATAACCTCCTTTAAAACAGTTTTTAACATACTTTTGGGAATGTTCAGGCCTTTTGCTGTCTTAATACCATTCACTAACTTCAGAGAAAATGAAAAAGTTTTCCCATTTCCTTCTTTCTTCATCTCTTCTTTCTGTATATTGTTCCTTTTTTCCCCCTTCCCTTATTTTATATTATACATCATTTTAAAATTGATCTTCTAACATTTTGTTTAAGTACAGAGGAATCTTATATGAGGAATTCCAGGGAGAAAAACTTAAACGTTGATTAATTCAAATGTCATTTGAAAGAGAAATATGACAATATAAAAGTACAAGTAGGAAAGTCATACATGATCTTATTCCATCTTAATATACGAGTGAAACAAATTGACATGATTAGTAATTCGTCCCTTGATTCTGACCCCATTGTGTTTTAGTTCTGAGAATTCTGTTTTGTCACTTGCATCAGCAGATATTTTTCATGAAATCAAATTTACTTGTTTTTAAAAATGAAACCATTATATTTTAAGACCATAAGTTTTAATATTACTCATTCTTCAATACTTATTATATACATTTTGAGTCAATAAGGGTATAAATTTCATTACTGTAAATAAACTTAATAATGAATGCACTTACATGTTGATTTGTAAGCAGCCGCTTTTTTTTTTTCCCTTTTTAGGTTGGACACCACTTCATGAGGCATCTAGTGAGGGATCCAATGATATAATTATAGAGTTGCTAAAAGCTGGTGCTAATGTTAATTGTGAAAATTTAGATGGGATTCTGCCCTTACATGATGCAGTTGCAAACAATCATCTAAAGGTACAATTCACTTCAGATTAAGTTTCTGTTACTTTTGTTAGGAAAAAATGATTGAAAATATGAAGATATTTCAAACTGAGAACTAAAGTGATTCCCTAAAACAAGTGATTTTTTTAAAAATCAATAAAATAATATGAATTGTAAGCCTAGAGTAAATCATTCCAATTGCATCTCTTATAGATAATAAAAACTTCTCTAGTCCCTGTGGTAGGGCAATTATAAGTTCATCTCATTTGCTTCCTTTCTCTCAGGGGTGATTGCCCTGTACTGCAAGTTGTCCAGTGTCTCAAATCGCTATTTTATATGTTTTGCTTACTTTTCTAGTTGGGTGGGGCAGTATATCTTGTCCCTTGTCTATGGAAATAACTGTAGCAAAATACTTAATAGGCAGCTGAGATTCTTCTACAACATGGAGCAGACCCTAATCAAAAAGATCAAAACCAAAAAACTGCTTTGGATGAAGCTGATGATATAAAGATGGAAGAGCTGCTAAAATCTTATGGTGCTATAGAAACTGATAATAGAGATGAGACTAATGCTGTTGTTACTGGTATGTATGTTAGTATTGCTTGCTATTTTATACGGGTGGTATACCTCTGCTTAGAATATAAAATCTTATTTGTGGTATAGTTTCATAATTGACAGATATTTTGTTATGTTTATTAAACTCTTGAAAAGCATTATTTGTTTTTAGAAATTTGCATCGCTAAGCTTGGTTTAATTTATAGATCATATGATAATATTGGATGGAGTTACATATTGAAATGAAACCCATTCATTCATGAAACATGCTGATCTCCCTAACTTTGGGTCTAAGTTCAAGGTATAACTAAAACTACACCAATTGTTTTACTTGTAGCAGAGCTGGGAAAGGATAACATTTCCACAAACTCTTTACAAGTAATATTCCATTACTTCAAATTTTGTAATGATTCATACAAAGGCTGGATCAATAACAGCTTTTCAAAAATCTAATATTCTAATGCTAGAATATGATTATGTTAAGTAAAATATGCATATGTCTATAGCGTAATAGAAAGAATGTTTCAAGAAATACAGTCAGGAAAAATTTTATGAACCATTTTTGGGCAATAGTTTGCATTTAAATAATAAAACTAATTTTTTCATAAGTATTGAGCATATAGTGAACACTAATTTAGAAAACAGATTTGTTGCTATGAACTTGCTTGCCCATGAAGAACTTCAAGTCTTGTGGGGAGACCAGCCACAAATTAGGCAATTAAATACAACTTAAGTGTTAAGGAGAGGGAATTGTTTTTCCTTTTTCCTCATCCTTGAACCTTAACTCATAGAAGAAAAAACCATTTGCCTGCTCTCTATGAGGACTACATTGGGAAGAGAACCCCTGTCACATAATTCTCTCCTAGCTGACTTTTGTCCTTATTAATAGTTGATTTCCAAGGAGGAATTATATTACCAGTATTTTTGGCCGGAACTAAGGATAATCATTGTGCCATATATCAGTAGGCAGCTAGAGAACATGTAGGTAAGGTAAGGCTGATCTGAGATTCCCTTTTTCATTGCCTGCTACCATATGCTAAGTCTCTGGAGGCCAGGGTCTTTCTTAGAGCCTTTACTATGGCTCTCTCCCTCTGCACAGCCATATCTGAAGGTTTTTTAAGTCCCATGGTTTATATCAGCTCAGCTTACCAGAGAAGCCTTGCATATGGAGTTGTGGGCACTCTGTTATAAAGTGGTGTATCTATGCCTACTTGTCTGTTGCTTCTTATGTATATATTTTCTTGGTCAGGTACCCCAAAGGGAATTGAAGGGTATAAGGTACAATAGTTATATTGAGAAAGGGAGTCCAGAATTGAAAGAGGGTCAGAGGAAACTTTACAGAGAGAGTCAATTATAGAAGACTTTGGAATCATCTACATCAGAGAAAGCTTCACTTTCTTCTGTAAAATGAGTATAACAAACTATCTTACAAGGCTCATATGAAGATTAAATAAGATGATTCAGGACAAGAATTTCATATCTAACATGTGATAAATATTCAGTCAGAGTTAGCTGTAATTAGTCCATTGATGATCATAATAATAAATAGATCCTGATGAACATTAATGTATTATAATTGTAGTCTTAATTTATCCTTTCCACCCTATCACCATTACAATTGATAAAATGAAGCTAAGTTTTTGTATGCTCTTATTATATTTTCTAATTTTTAAAGAAAAAATTCCTGCTGTTCGATCAAAAAGAAATAAGCAGTGTTTTTGTGATGATTGCAAAACTGTTGATCTGTCTTCTCTTGCACGCCAAAAAAAGCCAAGAGAAAGCCATCCTGTGGTGAGTGAACTTGAAATCCTTCCAGTCTTCAGCCTAGAAAATGCCATTTTTTTTGAATAGCCAACCATTGACTATTGGTAGACCGCTTTCCATTTTAAGGACATGCAGGTTGAAAAAGGCTTTTTTATCATATGACAATAGCATAGTGTAGTCAAACAAAAAGAGCCAGGAGGATATATTATGTGGTTATCCCTCAATACTCTGCACTAACTACAAAAATCATGGATTAACTGCTGTCCCTTACACCTAGGTTGAGTTCTTTGACTACTTCTTGTCTCTTAGATGCTGTCAATGTCATAGTGTGTCTAAATTGATTTAGTCCCAGAAAGTGTCTAGAATCTCCAGTAGGCAGAAAGAACATAGACATCAGACAGAGAAGAGGAAATCAATCTGGTTTAGTCAGCTGGATTGCACATGATTTATAGCAATAGTGTCTGCTATATGTGAAACCCCTCATGTAAAGTTGTATTTTGGCTAAAATCATATTATTTTGAATCAGATTATATATGTTGACTAGACTTCTTACCTACTTTTGTTAGTTACCGTAGAGGGGGAAATGTCAGTAATTTAATGTAAATTATGATGAATGAACTAATTTAGACTTTCTTTTAAGAGATAATCAACCTAATTGCATTTGCCTCAGCACTTCAGAAATATTTTGCATTATTTCCTAATATCTGTTGTAATAAATGAAAATGCAATAGTCAAACTAATTATTCCCATAGACAATGTGTCTTTTAAGTTTGCAGTTATTAAGATTTTTCCTTTACTCTTTTATGTTCTATAGCTTAGTTTGTAGCTAAATGTGGATGTGTTTTTATTCATTTACTCTGGACTAGATGTCCTCCTTTAATCTGGAACATGTTTCTCATTTGTATTCTGGGAACTCAGCTGTTACATCTTTGGATATTACCTCTCCTCCATTCTCAGTATATTTTGGAATTCCTAGATGTCTGGAAAACCAGTCTCCATATCTCCTAAATATCTTTTTTATATTTTCCATCTCTTTAATTCTCTGCACTGTATTCTGCGTGATTTCTCTTTAAATTCATTATTTCTTTACTCAAATATTTCTAAATATTTAACCTATACATTTGAGCTTTTAATTTCAATGACTTCTTTATTTTTAGAAGTTTTGTTTGCTTTTTTGAATTTTTTTGAAAATAAAGCAAAGCAAAATAACACTGTCCTGCTTTTGCCTTACAGTATTGGTATCGTTAAAAAAAAACAAAACCCTTTACAAATACTTTTAGAGGATTTTAAACTCACCTTCTGACTCTCTGTCATGATAACATGATTCTTTCAGTGGTTTGTAATGTTGTATTATAGTCTCATTTCATGGAAGATTGTTTGCTGTGGGAACTTTGGAGTGCCTAGATTTTGTATTAACATTTGCCTCTACTGGGTCCCTGGAGGTTTATCAGTATCACACCAGTTTGTATGCTAATTTTAGTCTCTTGAACCACACAGATTATATAAAATTAGTTCTAATATACATGTATGGCTTCAGTTTGGGTCTCTAATTTTCTACGCAAAGCCCTAGATAGGTGACAAGTTTTTCTAACCCTTATTTACTCTAAAGGGTGCTTATTCAAGGTCTCTAACTTTATGTAGAGACTTTATTCTAATGCCTGTCTCATGTGCACCTGCAATCTTATTTTCTGTTCCTGTATGAATATTAAAAACCCAGCCCCTAATACTTGTGTTTGTTCCAAATCTCCCATAGGTCACTGCTAACTTAGTTTCTGGAACCAGGAAATTTCCCTTTCTTTTCTTATTCCCTGTACTATGTATGGGAGTGTGTATGGGGGTCTCAGTCTCTCTCTCTCTCAATCTCGCTCTCTCCCTTCCTCCCTTTCTCATTTCCTCCCTGCCTCCATATCCTACCCTCCCTCCCTCTCCCGCTTTCCCCCCCCTTGCCCCGTTTCCCTCCCTCCCTTCTTCCAATTCCCCCTTCCCCCCATTTCTCTCCCATGTTTTCATGTATTTGGATTAGACAGGGATCCTTGTGTATCAGCTCAACCCACCATATTGACCATAAGTAACATTAAGGTAAATTTTCATATGAAGATTAGAACATTATAGGAAAACCATCCTGTTGTTACTGACTGTATGGGTATTTGCCTCAGAAATAATGTCTTTGGGCCTCCCTGGTGGCAAGTGGGTTGAGCGCAGTGCTATGAAGCTGTCCATAGCCTCTGTAGGACTTGTTCGATTCCCTGCCAGAGATACCCACCTGGCACAGCAGACCTCTCCTATCTCTCCCGCTGCTGCTGCCCTCAGCCGTGTTTTTTTTTTTTTTTTTTTAAATAGAGGCATGTTTTATTTATTTATTTATTTTATTTGTTTGTTTGTTTTTTGTTTATACATGCACTGGGTACAGTCAGAAGTGCGGGAGGGTGAGAGAATTCACCAGAGCCAGAGCAGGGAGCAGAGCAGGCAGAAGGACCGAAGTACACTGCTGAGGGGAGCAGCAGGCGGCAGGAGAGGTCTGCGCGCCATGTGGGACCCTCCTCCGGTGGCCGGGGAGCAGCCAGGGATCGAACCGGCGCAGCAGAGGCTGCGGGCAGCTTCGCAACCCAGCACTCAACCGCTGCGCCACCGGGGAGGCCCTCAGCAGTGTTTTTGGTCCGTCTGCCTGTTCTGCTCCCCACTCTGTCTCTGGTGAATTCTCTCACTCTCCCATGCTTCTGGCCTGTACACCAATTCTTGTATAAATAAATAAATCTTAAAAAAAAAGAAAGGGGCCTCTTGGTGGCGCAGGGAGTTGAGCGCAGCGCTGTGAAGCTGTCCACACCCTCTGCAGCATGGTTTTGATTTCCCGCTGGCCAGGGAAATACCCACATGGCACTGAAGACCTCTCCTGTCTGCCTCTGGCCTGTACTCTCATTCTTGTATAAATCAATCAATCAATCAATCAATAAATAAATAAATCTTTAAAAAGAAAGAAAGAAAATAAAAAGAAAAAATAATATTTTAGTTGCCAAGACTCAGAAAATGCAATGGAAATATTGTAACAGGGTGGTCCCCAGGAAAGGGGGAGGTTCCCTGCCCCACCCAAGGGAGGGTGGAGCTGAGCAGGAAGAGGAGGAGCTGCAGAAGAGACTGAGGAAGGAAGCAGGATGGAGCCAGGAGACCTGGAGGAGGCGCATGGAGCCTAGAGACACGTGAAGAAACTGCGCTTGTCTTTTGGTCGTAGACTGGGTGACACAGATGTGGGTGAGACCCATGGAGAGGTGACAATGGCAGTTTTTATCTTGATGTTGATTTTGCTCTTTTCCTTCCGGGCTTGTCTGGTTATTTCTGACCCTTTGCTGTGGGTCCCCACTGGAAGATGCTTTAGACTTGTGGCAGGCTTTGGGGCTTTGCTCTGGGCCAATCCCATTTGGATGGACTTTTACCCATGAGGGGACGGGTAACTTTGGGTGCTTCATTTAGAAACTAGACTCTTTGCCTTACCTGTATTGTTTCCTAGTTTTATTAAAGTTCCTTCCCATTAAAGTCTCATATGTTTTGTGTTGATGTGGCGGATGGCAGAACCCATTTAGAATAGGCAGGTTTGCGGGGTTTGGGCTGCCCCTCTCCCTGTTCTATAACAATATGAGTCTAAATAAACCAACTTAAAAAAAAGTTCAGTAGAAATATAAGGACTTTAATGATTATTTCTTTGGTAAATGTAAATTGTTTTTGAAGATTAGAAATTTCAAACCAAATTGGAAGTAGGGGGTGATTGTATGACCAGATACTAAGGAAATGAGATGATTTTAGTTTTATGCTGCTGTAGTATATAAGCAGCTACATGTAAGCAGCTTTCCTCTCTATCTCCTTATAGATTAGATATAGAAACAATAACAGAATTATAATAATAGTTGGCATTTACTGTGTATATAATGTGTCATGCTGTGCTCACAGAGTACTTTATATTAACTCATTTAATATTCATAGTAAGCCTTCTAGGTGGGTTTTGTTATTATCATTACCTCCCTCTTTACAGATGAGGAAGCTGCAGTAAGAGAGATTAAATAACTTATTCCACAATCACATTTCTATTAAGTAAATAGCAATACCAGAATTAAACTCCAGGCAGTCTAGCTCTGGAATCTGTGCTCTTAACCACTGCATTATTTTGTGCAAAATTACAAAAGAGGTCTCAAAGGCAAAAATGGTCCTGCCATAGTAAAAATAGCAAATTTGGAATAAAATCATAGTGAAGTTTTACAGTAAATAGAATATAAACTGTCTAAAGCTGCTTCTTCCAAAGAAAATTCCTAGTTTAGGGTTTTCTTTCTTTCCTTTTTTTTTTTTTTAAACAAGCTGTAATGAAGGATTGAGAAGGGAGATCTTAATGGGAAGGTTATGCCGGACACTCTATGGTAGAATGTGGAGTTGGAGTGGAGTAAAAAATATGGTCCATTATGGTCAAGATTGAGTGCATCCACAATATGAGGCAAAATGGAAAGCAAAGTTATTATCAAAAGATGTTTTCCTTTATCCTAACATGTACATAGAGGCTTAACCAGACACAAATTCAGACCTTTAGTTTATTTTTATAACCATTGCCATCCAATATAAACAGATAAACCTCAGTTTGTTTTGCATATTTATATTTTGTAGTTTCACTTTAACACATTTCATGAAAGAAGCAGTGAAATTTCTGTTCCACATAATTGGATGATTTTATTACATGCATTTTCCACATCATTTTCGGGCATTAAAGTAAAATTTCAGAGCAGTGTACCTCAGAAGACTCTGAGAAGCTACACATTAAAAAAAAGTCAATGAATATTGAGAATAAATTAAAGGGCAGATAACATGAATCAACTCACCAGTTGTCGTTTTTTGAGCAACTATACACATCCAGCAATGTGAAACAATTTACAAATATAAAAATCATGCTCCTACCTGCATGATCTTAAAAAATTATGTACAAGGTACTGTACATACTAATGTTAAATTATGTTGTGCTGACATTCTTTTTAAAAATATATTTATATTACATCATTGTTCATTTTTGTGCAATGTTTGCTTTCTTCTGTCAGGTGTAGTCTCCATATAACTCCCACCACCAATTAACCCGTGCACCATCACCATAGTCCCCTGTGCTCTTCCCACCCTTACGGATTTCTCTCCCTCCCCCTCATCTGCAGAATGTCTCTGATTTATAGTTGCCTGTTTTTTCTTTTTTAAAGATTTATTTATTTATGCATACAAGAGCTGGGGTACAGGCCAGAGGTGTGGGGATGGGCAGTGAGAGGATTCACCAGAGACACAGTGGGGAACAGAATAGGCAGATTGACTGAAGTACACTGCTGAGGGGATCAGTGGGGCAAGTCAGGAGAGGTCTGCTGCACCATGTGGACTGCTCCCTGGCTGGCTGGGATTTGAACTCATGCTGCAGTGGCTGCGAATTGCTTCATAGGTTTCGTCTTATCTCTTGCACCACCAGGGAGTCCCTATAGTTGCCTGTTAATTTTGTATTTTTTATTTATTATAATTTTTTTCCTAATCCCTTATTCGGTTCCTCTATGTTCCTCCTATAAGTTAAACATCCATATTTTTTTTCCTTCTCTTTTATTTCACTGTGCATAATCCCTTCTAGCTCCATTGATGTTGCTGCAAATGGCATGAATTTATCTTTTTTGATTGCTGAATAGTATTCCATTGTGTATATATACCACATCTTGATCCAGTCATCTATTTTGGGCATTTGGGTTGTTTCCATATCTTATCTATTATAAATAGTGCTGCAATAAATAAATGGGTGCAGCTATCCATTTGAATTAATGTTTTTGTGTCCTTTGGGTAGCCTAGGAGTGGAATGCTGGGTCATACTAGAGCTCCATTTTCAGTAGTTTGAGGAACATCCACACAACTTTCCATAGTGGTTGGACCACTTTGCATTCCTACCAGCAGTGTAGGAGAGTTTCTTTTTCTCCACATCCTCACCAACATTTGTTGTGGCTAGTTTTTTTAAAATGTGCCATTCTCACTGGTGTAAGGTAGTATCTCTTTGTGGTTTTGATTTGCATTTCTCTGATTATAAGAGATGGTGAACATTTTCTCATATACATGTTAGTCATTTGCATTTCCTCTTTGGAGAAGTGTCTTTTTAGCTCTTCTGCCCATTTTTTGGCTGGATTGTTTACTTTGGTGAGTTGTATGAGTTCTTTGTAGATATTTGTGATCAGTCCCTTATCAGTTGTATAGAGCGCAAAAATTTTCTCCTAATATGTAGAATGTCTCTTTGTTTTGGCTAATTGTGTACTGAAAGTAACTCAGTAGAGATTTTGTGTATGAGATGGGTTTTATAATAATACTAAACAATATTTATTGAGCTTTTACTTGGTGCTGACACTGGTCTGAGCTTTTTACATGTATTACTCAAATCAGGCAAAGAAAGGATAAGTAACTTGCTGGAATAATCAACTAGGAAGAGGTGGAGCCAGAATTCACATCCAGGCAGCCTGGTTATAGGGGTTACTCCATGATTCCATCCCTTACATGAAAGAGGGATCGATGCAATGTAAATTGAAGGCATTCTGGACAGGAAGTATAGTATGAACAAGGACATAAAGAGGTGGTTTTAAATCACTTTTGTGAGTTTTGAGACAGTATTTCGTATTTCTAAGACTGTTCAATCTAAGTTTTATAGTGTACAAGTCATAGAGTCTGAACATGAATTTAGTGTGTAGATATGATCTTTACGTATTATACACTGAGTTGTTTATTTTTTGTCCTACACATATAATTTTACAAGCTAGTGAAAAATGATTCTTTATATGGTTGCTGCTCTTACATTCTATTTTCCAAGAGTTATATCTATAGAAATCATGACATACTGATATTTAAGTTTACTTTTTTTCCAATTATGCAACACTTACACAGTTAAAATTAAAGCATGACTACATTTGAACATAAAAAAATGAACATTTTTTAGCAACTCTTCCTTTAGCCTTTTCACTGCTTATTTGTCAGTGGTGTATCAAAGGGAAATATCTACCTTCTTGTAATGAAGCTTTTAATATTTTAATCTGATAGCATCAGACCATCAGTGCCATTCTACAAGATGTAGAAGAAAAGCAAGAAAATTTGCTGGAGTTTGAAATAAGAACCCCTGAAGATGCAGGTAAATAGGACTTGAACTCAGGTTTGAATATTTTAGGCATCCAAAGTCTTTCTTAATTCATCTACTCTTTAAGGTGTATGTTTATGCTAAAACTCAGTGGCTGAAAAAGTGGCTAGAGTATTTAAGTGCTAGCAATGGTAACTAGGAATTAGTGATGCAAACACAGTAGTTTGTGTAAGTATAAAGGTATTTCTAGACAGAGTGTAGTAATAAATACTTTGAATTTATAACCATAATCAGAGATAACTACTGGTATGTTTAGATGAAGAGTAACAAAAAAGCATAAGATAGTGACTTGAGAAAGGAGGGAGGAAGGGATAAAGAAAGAAAGAGGATAGGTATTCAAGGGTGGATTGGGGGAGGGTGAGTGACGCATTTAAACATACGAAGGAGTAAAAATGTAACCCTAAAATCATAATAAAAAATTTTAATTAGAAAAAATGATAGTCATTTGAGATGAGATTATATTATTCTTTGGCTCCTCAGCTTTGTCTAGCTCACCTAAACCTTAAAAACAGATAAGAGAATGTGTAGCAGTGACACTAACCTTGTCTGATACAATTTGGAGATTGTAAATTGGCATGGAAATTTAAAACAAGTTCTTGTTGTTACACAGCACAAATTAGTTCTATATGGGGATGGTGCTTTTTCATTTTCACTTGTCTCTGATGCAGCTTATATGAAATAATTATTAACTATTCTGTTAACTGAACATTTAGTTCAGTTAGTTAACATTAACATTTAGTTAACTAATAGTTAACAACATTTAGTTAACTATTCTGTTAACATCACTCTGTAATTGAAAAAAATGTTGAAGCTGTTTTATTGATATTCTGAATGCTTCTAAGTAAATATGAGTTTTTATTGAAAAAATAAAAATAAAATGTATTCCTTTAAACCTTTCAGCTTTCTATTTGTCAATATATAAATGTACATACATGACATTTACATGTAAATTCTGTAGATTTGTGGTATGGTGAGGTCATGATACTTTTTCTTAGTAACAGTGAAAGAAAGCAAGAAAAATTTAAGAATTAATAGTTATTATAAAGTAATTTATGGGATATATAAGTGACCATAGATATTGTATGGCTCCATCTAAGTATTAAGAGTAAAGAATAATTACTTGTAACATGATTTTTAATTTAAAGTACATATAATATAGATACTGATATAATATAGATATGTAAACAATAATTTAAATAATAAAGAATTTTATACTCACACCTATTGAAGTATTAACAGCAGTTTCCTTTGCGGAGAAAAGTAGATCAGAAACAGGAGGGTGAGTGGGATGCTCTTTCATTTTTGTTCTGTGTGAACATTCTTGTTGTTTGAGAAATGTTTGGTAATGAGAAGTAGACCTTTTGTATTTTAAAAAATAAATATTTTTTAACTTTTTTCACTACCCTCATTTCACAAATACAGAAGCTAATTATAAGGTCATGTGATTTGTCTGGGTTTCATGGAGCTTACTCAGTGGAGTAGCCCAAATTAGGATTTGGGCTGACCTATTCTTTCTGGGTATAGTGTACCTACCTATACACCTCGGGGTACTTTCATAGGCTGACAATTAAATACGCCTTGACTTTTGTATCTGGCTGTTACTATTGGGGAAAATAATATGGAAATGGCTTTTAAAAATTAACAGGCAGATTAAGTTCTGTGTGACCGAATTTGACATTTGCTAGCTCTCAGTTAACTGACTATTTTATCACTATGTTTCTAGAACAATATATTGAAAAGATGTTAGAGATAAAAGAGGTTATGAACAGCATACTTGCCAAACAGAAGGCAGAGAGAGATGATCTGGCTAAAAAATACAGGTGAGTGAAAAAAATAGGAGTGTTTAAGAGTTTTCGGAATTTATCCATTATTAGCTTACAAAAGTTAGGCCTAGAATTTTTTAAGAATGCAAGTATTGCTTTGGACCAAAATGACTTTATTGGGTCATCTAAACTATAACCTCCATTTGTACCTTTCAGAAAGATGTATTAGAGCATAAAGAAAATCATTCTGTACTCCTCGGGTTTCTTCTAGGTTGGCAAATAAAAATCAGATCGATAAGGGAAAAAGTCATAGAGAAGTTTAATAATTACATGTATATCTCTTGTATACTTATAATCATTTGGCATCTATTGAACATTTAATATTTTTTAAAAGATTTATTTATTTATGCGTACAAAACTGGGGTGTAAACCAGAGGTGCGGGGGAGTGGTTATATGAGAGGATTCACCAGAGACAGAGTAGGGAACAGAATAGGCAGCTCTACTGAAATACACTGCTGAGGGGAGCAATGGGCGAAACAGGAGACGTCTGCTGCACCATGTAGGTCAGCTCCCTGGCTGGGGATCGAACTTGTGCCACAGTGACTGGAGATTGCTTGATAGTGCTGAGACTTAACCCCTTGCGCCACAAGGGAGGCCCTGAATATTTAATTTTTTTCCTGAACTTATTTAAAAATGAGCTTTCTATTTTTAGTTATAAATATACTATTTATCCCCATTTTGTTTTTGTCTCTAGTGAATAAGTATCATATTCTTTTCTATTTTTCTCTTAATATGAAGCAAAAGAACATATAGGAACTACAGGTTGACTGTAGGCTATTTCCTAAGGGACTTTGGACAATATTAGCTACAATTTTCCTCTTATGGCCCATGGTTTAAAATATACCTTATTAATATTGCTATAGTGCTTAAAAGCTTGTGATCTAAAAAGCAGATTTATTTTCTACCTGAATTCTTCATTTCACATATATTTTTTTAAAGATTTTTTTATTTATGCATACAAGAATTGGGGTACAGGCCAGAGTTGTGGGGGGTGAGAGAATTCACCAGAGACAGAGTGGGTAACAGAACAGGCAGATTGACTGAAATATACTGCTGAGGGGAGCAGCGGGCAAATCAGGAGAGGTCTGATGCACCATGTGGGCAGGGGATTGAACTTGCACTGCAGCGGCTGCAGACAGCTTCGTAGGTTGCATCTTAACCCCTTGTGCCACCAGGGAGGCCCCCATTTCACATATTTTTAAGTGTGATGTCATGAATTTTTTTTTCTCCTCTATCAGCTTCCTGCATTTTATATTTGTTGTTTGTTTATCTGATTTTTCTTGTTACTTATTCTACTTACACCTACTACTCACTTTAACACCCAGTCTGCTTGATGATAATAATTCTAAATTGTGAGAAGAGGGGCAAATATCTTTATGATTAGTTCTCCTTAAAAGTACCTGCTATTAAAACATGGTTCGTGTACCTTTGGGGGATCCCTGATCATTTCAAGTCCCCTGTGAAATCAAAATTATTTTTATGATGACATCTGGATGTTATTTGCCTTTTTCTCTCTCATTCTTTCATGACTGTACAGTGAGATTTTCTAGAGGTCACAGGACATGTGATATCAATCTAATAGCCAATTTAATGTGTGCTTTGTATCTTTTTTACTTTTACATTTTTCTTGGTTTTATTTTTCTAAAACAGCAAATGTGATATGATGCATATAGAAGCAAAAACTTTTTGGGTTCTTCAATTTTTAAATTATAAAAACGTTCTGACACCAGGAAGTTTGAAAGCCACTAGAAACAAAGTATTCAGTATTCTGGGAGGTCTGTGTGCCTAGATAGGTATAACTGAAAAGCAAAACTGTTGAGCCATTGCTCCCACTAGGTTCTCAAACTCCTGAGAGATGTGGCTTGGGGAAGGCTCACAGGATAATGCTTATCTCCATAGTCCCTCTGTACTGAAAAATTTCTCAGTTTGGTTTCAAAACACAGCTATAGTTATTACCTAATTAATACATTTTTCAGGTCTACTTTAAGTATGATTGCTCACAAAACAATCTTATTCCTCCATAGCTAGGGGAACTTATGTAAAACTTACTCCCAGATTTTACTTCCTGTTACACATTTCCATTGTAATGGGTAAGCAAACTCCAAGTTTAAAGACTGGTGTTCCTCTGCTATCAATCTGTACCGTCTAGCTAGAGAACTAATAGATATCTGGACAGAAAATCCAAGCTTTCGTTTAGACTTTAAAAGTCTAGAGTCAGTCCTAAACTGAATAGTGATAGGAATATGAATGTAGATAACAATCAATATATGCCATCACCTCCACAAAAACAAAAAGGCAAACCCACTTAAGTAAAAAATTACTTTCTTCTTAAAGGACATACATTGCACATATAGACCTCTGTGTACTTCAAATTGATTAAATTTAAATTGAGAGAAAGTATCTTTAAAATCTAAATGACTGGTAACATAAGTTTTCTGCTGTTTTTTCCCTCTTTCTGTTTCTCTCTGTAGGGTATCCATAGAATCATTTAAGCATGGAGTCCTGAGAGAACAACTGTCTAACCTGGCCACAAGACAGAAGAGTCTTCTTGTTGTTGCAAAAAAACAGAAAAAAATAAGTCTGAAAATTCAAAACTATAAGAATATTACATCACTATCTGATTTTAGTTTGAGGAAGCTGTCATCCAGCTCCGAAATCTCAAGTGAAAATGCCATTCAAGAACTTACCAGTCTGGAAAATTCAGTGCAGCCTCAGTCGTGTTCAATTTCTCCCATCAGCCTTGTTCATGGAAACATTCAAGAAACACAGTTGACTCTGGAAATGAGGGACAGCCAAAATACCAGCACTCCTCTAAATATGGAGATAGTGAGAAGGACGGACTTTCCTGGAAATGAGCTGAATTCTAAACAAGATGTCAATAACTGTTCCTCGGATGGGTTATCAAAATCCAGAGAGTCAGTTGGTACTAAAAAGATTAAATTACCATCCAAACCTGTTGCTTTCACTGCTCGAGCAGAATGTTCACATGACAAAATTACAGAAACTATAGCCAAAGAGCATGAATCCTGTGGTCCTTCATCAGTAACTGGCACATTAAATAATTCAGAAACTGCAAGCCTACTTGCCCAAAATGACCATTCATCAACTGTTATTTGTAATCAGGCTTTTTCCAATTGTGGCCGTAAAAGAATGAACAGGAAAAAAACTTCCCAGCAACCCTCAAGGGGGACATCAGAACACTTGGCACATCGAATGATTGCTGCCTTACCTAGTGATACTGAGCATCAGATCAAACCACATTTTAAAAAGTCAGCTTTTTCTATTTCACATGCAAATGACAGCCAGCGCTGCTTCTCTGGGTCAGACCCTCAGCATACTATTAACAAATCTTTAAACCATAGCACAATACCTAAAAAGAAACGTATGAAACGTATGCAAATAAAGGATCTGATATTACTAGGAAGAATTAATCCAGGAAATAACATTCTGGAATTCAAAACACAGGTATTCTACTATTTTTCCTCTGAAACCAATGAATTTTATAAATGATTGAATATTGGCTGGGCTTCTTGAATGAAGGCGCGCAACCATTATGTTCTTAGCAAGTGAAAATCATGCTTCTAGAATTGCTTTAGGCATTGTAGTCATGAGAACCTTTAGGCTCTCAGATCAGAATTAAGTCAACTATTTTGCAGATTGAAGGATTTAAGACAAACACAAAAATAATATATTGGAGTTGTCTTTGGTTCCAAAGTTTTGGGAACATAAATTGATTTACTGACTAATCCAATCAGATGTTTGTTTCCTTTAAGGGATAGTTCCCTAGGTTAGTAATTGAGACTTATTCTAACTATAGCAAGGCTCTTCTTTCTCCACAGTTCTCTCTTTAAAGCCAACCTATAGTTTAACCTGTATCTCTCAAGTGAATCTACCAGTTTACTCCCATTGGTCTTTCACCACAACTTTGCTGTTTTTGAGAGTGCCTTTGAGCTTGAAGTTCTCCATACTCTGTTGCAAATGAGGTCATTTCCTAGGGTAGGAGATTAGGAACTATCTGTTTTAAGGCTTGCTACCTAGCTCAAGCAGAAATCTCTGTGCCATGGTTTGGGAGTGGGCATATGGTATCACCCTTACTTTGAATGTCACCCTTACTTTGGAGCTGAGCATTTGGTGGAGGGGCCACAGTGGCTTTATTCTTGTTCACATTCCCTCTCCTGACATGACACTACTACCTTACAAGCCACAGTAAGGGTGATTGTAGTCCTGAGGTCTCAGTGATGACATTCCAAGGGTTGAACCTCTGTCTCACTGGTGTAGGCTAGGCTGGAGAAGGGAGTCCCCACCTCTTGGCTGCTCTCACCCACAACTTCGCTTCAGCAACAGTAGCTGAGGGCAGAAATGCTGATGTCCTTCAGGACATCAGGAAGATCACTCCCTGACTGAGAGCTGTAGGGAGAGGGAATCCTGTGGTTTTGACTGCAGCAGTTTGAAGTGGGCTCTCCATTTCATTGAGCTGGGAATAGAGGAAGGGAATAGTTTTGCTTCAAATACCATAAATTCTTGCCTTTTTTTAAACCTAATTTTCATACATATTGTTGAATAGATGCTTCTTCATTTGCCACATACTCTTATGACCAGTGTATTTCCAGAGACTTAAAAATAATTTTTTTATAGTGTTCACCCTTTACAGTATCATGCCAGACATTGGTTCTAAAATACTTTTATACTGGGCCTCCCCGGTGGCACAGTGGTTGAGCGCTGGGTTGCGAAGCTGCCCTCAGCCTTTGGAGCGCCGGTTCGATCCCCGGCTGCTCCCCGGCCACCGGAAGAGGGCCCCACATGGCGCGCAGACCTCTCCTGCCGCCCGCTGCTCCCCTCAGCAGTGTGCTTTGGTCCTTCTGCTTGTTCTGCTCCCCGCTCTGGCTCGGTGAATTCTCTCACCCTCCTGCACTTCTGACTGTACCCAATGCTTGTATAAATAAATAAATCTTTAAAAAAAATAAAAATAAAAAAATAAAATATTTTTATACAGTGTCTTTTGACATAGTTAGGTTAAAATCTACTGTGTAGTATTTGTTTTCAGTTTCTCACAACCCTTATCATTTTTTTCTGCTTTATCTCTTTTGTTGGTTTATTAGCTATAGCTCTTTTTATTTTAGCTATAGCTTTAGCATTTATACTATGTATTTTTAACTTCTTACAGTCTACCTTTAAGTGATAGTATACCATTTCATGTATACTATAAGATTCTCAAAACATACACTTCCATTTTCCCATGCTTGACTTTTGTGTTATCATATATTTTATTTTTGCATGTTATATATTTCACACAATGTAATTATTTTTGTTTAAGCAATCAGTTTCTTTTAGAGGTTTGAATAATAAGGAAAGATGTCTTCCATGCAGTTGCTATTTATGGTACTTCCTTTCCTATGTGTAGATCTTAATGTTCATTTGCTCTCATTTTCCTTCCATCTGGAGGATTTCCTATTTTAGGACTACCTAATATTTATTGTATTGGAGGTCTGCTGATCCTTTTGACTTTTCCTTTTATGAAAAAGTTTACTGTACCTTCATTTTTGAAAGATATATTTGCTATGTGTAGAATTCCAGGTTGGAAATTCTTTTAATACTTTATAGATGTTGCTGTACTGTCTTCTTCCTTAATTGTTTCCAAAAAGAAATATACTTTTGTTCTAAACTTTGTTTTCCTAAGCAATGTCTGTTTTCGCATCTGGCTGCTTTTAAGATGTTCTCTATATCTCTCCTTTTAAGCAAATTTGATTCTGATAAGTCATGGTATAATTTTTTTCATGTGTTTTATGCTTTGGATTTACTTAGCTTTTTGGAGCCCTAGGTTTCATCAAATTCGAAAAATTTCAGACATTAGGGCCTCCCCTGGTGGTGCAGGCGGTTGAGCGCCACGCTGTGAAGCTGTCCGCAGCCTCTGCAGTGACGGTTCTATCCTAGCCGGCCGGCGAGGGTCCCACATGGCACAGCAGACCTCTCCTGTCATGCCCGCTGCTCCCCTCAGCAGTGTATTTTGCCAGTCTGCCTGTTCTGTTCCCTGCTCTGTCTCTGGTGAATCCTCTCACCCTCCCATGCATCTGGCCTGTACCCCAGTTCTTGTATAAATAAATGAATAAATCTTTAAAAAAGTGTTTAAGAAAATTTTTTTTCAGACATTATTTCTTCAGATATTTTTCTCCTCTCCTCCTCTTTTAAAAACTCCCCTTATATACATACTGGATTGCCTGGAGTCATTTCACAACTCACTGATGATTTGTTAATGTTTTTAAATTCTCATTTTTCAGTGTTTCATTTCTGTGCAGTTCCCATTGCTGTGTCTTTGAATTCACTAATTTTTTGTTTGCAGTGTCTAATTGTTAACCTCATCCAGTGTATTTTTCATCTCATACATTGTAATTTTCATTTCTAGAGAAGTTTGATAGAAAAAAAGACTCATATCTTCCATATCTTCACCTAACTTTTGAACATGAGAAATAAGTTATAGTTCTTATTTGCTAATTCTAATATTTGTCTGTTCTCATTTTCAATTGATTGCTTTATTTCCTTTGTTTGGGTTGTATTTTCCTGTTTATTTCCAGGCATTGTAAAATTTACCTTGGTGAATACTGGCTAGTTTCGTGTTCTTATAAATATTTTGGAGATTTGTTGTAGGATGCAGCTAAGTTACTTGGGAATAATTTGATTCCTTTGGGTTTTGTTTCAGATATTTGTTATTCAGGTTTACAATAATGTTCAGTGTGGGGGTAATTATTTCCCTCTACTGAGGCAAGACTCTTTTGTGTATTCCTCAGCCTCTCATCATTTTTGAGTTTTTTTCTAGTCTTACTATTTATTAGGAACAGGTACTATTTCTACCCTTTGAAAATGCCAGGCATCATTACAGCTAATCATTTCACGTGGTTCTTTTCCTAACCTTGGGTAATTTCCTTACACACATAACCAATCAGAACTGCTTAAGAAGACCCTCTAAAGATCTACAGAATTCTCCCTCATTGTATTTCTCTCTTCTTCAGTACTCTTTACTGCAAATCCTAGCCACCTCTCTAGACTTCCTGCACCATTATCAATTTAAGGGAGACCACAGACTTTGCCTAGAATCCTTCTTCCTACATCATGACCTGGAAACTCTCTCAAGCAAGGAGCTGGGGGCAGTTGTAGGGCTTACTTTATTAATTTTTCATTACTTAGGGAACAGGCAACAAATTAGGGAATGCCATAATTTGTTGCCTGTTTGGTATTTTACAAACCATTGTTTCAAATGTTTTCTGTTTTTTGTTTTTTGTTTTGGTTGTGTTGGATGTTAAAGCTGTCCCGTTTTGCATGTATTTCAACTCTCTTTTAACTTTAATTTCTGTTTTATTTTTCACTTCAGGAAACTACCCACAAAGCCAGTATTTTGTTGAGTGGTAAAATTAAGGTAGAAAATGGTCAGATATATCAAAACCCAGTCACCTGGCTCAAGGATGTCCTAGGAAGCAACAGTTGTGTGACCTGGAACTATGCTTGGAGTAAGGTGAGCCATTCTTAAGTGTATCTCTAATTCATATTCAAATGGAAAGTATGTTTTTTTCCCCAGATTTATTTATTTATGCTTAAAGAGCTGGGGTACAGCCAGAGATGTGGGAGGGGGGAGGTGAGAGGATTCACCACAGACAGAGCAGGAAACAGAGCAGGCAGACTGACTGAAACACACTGCTGAGGGGAGCAGCGGGCAAGACAGGAGAGATATTCTTTGCCCTGTGCGTTGCTCCGTGGCCAGCCAGGCATCGAACTCGTGCTGCAGTCTGCGAATTGCTTCATAGTGAGGTGCTTAACCCTTTGTGCCACCAGGGAGGCCCCAAGGAAAGTATGTTTCTTTTTTTTAAATCATACAACTGTTTGTTTTTTTAAAGCTCTGGAAGTTCTCCAAAGTTAAATCTTGTTCTCATGTGTCCCTTCTGTGATATTCTACATGCATTCTCCCACAACTTCTATTTGCCAGAATTCCTCAGTGGCAGGTTTGCATGGCTGACTGAGTCTTTCCTTCCTGTTTCTCACTGGTGCATTGATAATTTAGTTAATATGTTATTAGTATACTGCAAATCTTTCCCGAAAAACAAAAGGAAAGAGCATGGGGACCAAGGCCCACAGAAGTTATGATATACTTTTATGTTTGAACATAGCCTTATCTATGAATTGCTAGCTCCACAAAAGAAATACTTCTTTTCATTTGCACTTCCCAGACTTAGTAGCCTCCTCCTTAGTTCTGTCTTCTGATTTTAACCACTAACTTGAAGACTATTAATGACTGACATCCTTTAGGTCCAATGGTCAGCCACCTCTGATGTCTATGTCTTGCCCAGAGAATAAAGTTTCATAAGACTTCACTGTAGATACTTTCAGCCTCTATTGGTCATTATGGTAAGCCTAAGTGCACCAGTAATAGGAGGTACAGCTTCTTCTTTTTTTTTTTTTTTTTTTTTTTTTGTCCAACTTGGTTGTGCCCAACCTCCCTCCTAACTGTTCTTGGTCTTTGTCCCCAAACTACATTCAGGTTTCTTAAATCTCTGTGGCAGGTGTGTACAGAACTATGTTTCAGTTTCTTTGCTTACATTGGCACCTTTTGGATTTTCTCTGCTTTATAGTCTCTCTGCCCTTTTTTTTTTCCCTCAAGATTTTTTTCCTACCACTGGCAATCACCAGTCCATATGTTTTAATTGCCCAGTGCTTTCCATAGACTTATAAATCATATTTGTGTGTTAATAATTAACATTTCACCCCTGGAAATCCCTTTTTATTGCCATGTTTCTTAAGCTTATGATGGATTGTATCATTTTGCTGAAACTGAATCTATGCTTATAGCGTGAGTGTAGTACTGAGAGTTTTTGGAGCAGGGCATGCCTGTGCTACAGTGTGCCAGTGATGACTCAATTATCCCATTTTTTTTTCCTATTGTAACTACTGTGTTTGAATAGCTGACATCATTTGCTGCTCACTCTGTGTTTATACCTTATTTACATATCGCATTGCTTCTTGTCTCTTCCCATCAGCCTTTCAATTAGGGTCATACTGTTTAGCACCTATGTACAGCGAAGGCAATTGCAAATGGGGGGACTAAAATTAGGGCAGTTATTAAGATAGGATATTCATACAGTTTATCTAAATAGGCTTAGGCTTTTTAAAATGATGCTAAAAGCAAAAACAGTTTTAAAATTACTATATGGAACCCTGGTACTTCTAGTAAATACCCCATACTGAGAAAACACTAGCCCAGCAAGTATTTAAAAGCTTCTTTTAAATTTTACCATGAAAATCTCTTCTTCCACATGGGTGGAGCTGAAGGGATCATGCTCAGCAAAATAAACCAGAAAGAAAAAGAAAAATACCGGATGGTCTCACTCGTAGCAGGAGTCTAGAAAACCTAAATAAGGGACCAGGAAAAAGAATAACTATAAGAAAGAAAAAAATCAAAATCAACAAACAAGTATGAACCAGAGACACACTATGGGGGGTGGGGGGCGGGAAAAGGAAGGATTGGGGTCAAAATAAGGGGGTTGCAATTTTATGGGGAATATAAAAATAAAATTTTTAAAAATACCAAAAAAAATTTCTTTAGACATTTTGTTAACATGCAATGAGTTGTTAATATTATTCTAAATAAAATAAAAACGTTTTAAATTAAAAAAAAATCTCTTCTTCCTCTTATCTTGGGGTTACTGTTGAATTCTTTTTTTAATTAAGATTTATTTATGTCTACAAGAACTGGGGTACAGTTCAGAGGTATGGGAGTGAGAGAATTCACCAGAGACAGGGTAGGGTACAGAACAGGCAGACTGACGAAATACACTGCTGAGGGGAGCAGCGGATGAAACAGGAGAGGTCTGCTATGCCATTTGGATTGCTCCCTGGCTGGCTGGGGATTGAACTTATGCTGCAGAGGCTGCAGATAGCTTCATAGTGCTGTGCTTAATCCCTTGCACCATCAGGGACACCTCTGCTTCTGAATTCTTAGTTATGTGTTGATGAAAGGAGGTTGTTGCTACATTGGTAAATGTGAACATTTCTTCTTACTGGTTCTGAGAATGATAGTGGGGTTTTGGGGTCAGGAAAGCTTGGTTGTCAGGCAAGAAATGCCAGAAAACTAGGTCTTGCCCTATATCAGACAGAGTGACAAAGCCGGTAGATACAAAAATGACTCATAACTCCTACCCAAGCAGCTGGTCTGCTGTGTAGCTCTGCTAAGGGAATCCGGATGCTTACTCCCACTGTGCATCACTAACTCCTTTTGATGCTGCAGTTTCTAGTTGCTAGGCATCATCCTAATGTGGCAGAGTAACCTCTAGGTAAGAGACAGGAGACCAGCTAGTTCCTGGCCCCATACTTGATAAGTCATATGATCTGGACAAAGGTTTTCAACCCTGGCTACACATTAGAATCATATGGAGGAGCTTCTAAAAACTACCACTAGTGAACTTCGCCCTCATAGCTTCTTATCTAAAAGTTTGGAGACCAGGTTGCAAATTTCTATTGTATAGCTTGGAGAGAGAATAAGTGATCTGAGTCAAATTATTCAATCCCTTTAAACCTGTCATCTTATGCATAAAATAAGGAGTAGTGTTAAATGGTCTTTAAAGACAGTTCTAGCTTAGAGACTCTAGGACACATGGCACTCTGGTTTGTAACACAGTGCTTTTGCATCTGTTGTATCAAAACAACTCTAGGCAGCAAAGTCAACTATTCTCTCTGTTTATGAATATAAAAATAGAGTTGCTAGAGATTAAGTGACCTGCTTGTGCTCAAGGTGAGTGCTCGAAGTGCTCGAACCAGGTCTAGAACCTGAACTTCTGATTTCCCACATACTATTTTCTACATTTACAATAATGACACAGGGAGCCCACATTCCTTTCATTGGAAACAGGTTACCTTGAACTCAAGTACATACATAGCATCATTTACATATTGCCTTTATGAATTGGCAAAACCTCCTTCTTCTTTAGCAAAAATCTGCCTGCTTCACAGAGGAAAAAAATGCCTTCTGTTATATAATTGTAGTATGAGAATAATAGGATTTTTGATAAAGTTCATTTTTGTGAGTGATCAGGATGGGATGTAAACAGATGAAAAATGTGCTGCCATTTTGAGCAGTGACTCAGATCTCTTTTGCAGACATACTTCCCATCTGGCTACCTCACTATATGAATTTCCCCATATAAATTCACCTCTGTGGTTCACTCTTTGCCTTACACACTTAAAAAATTATTCCTACCACCATGATTAAGAATTCAAGGTATGGAAAGGTCAAGTATAAAAGGTGATTGAGATTGTTCATTAGGACAGTTAATGAAGTTCTCAGCATATCTTAATTTAAACCTCCTGAGCCCACCTACTACTGTTCAGGAGAAGATGGTTGGAGATGTTGCCCCCTTTTAACATACAGATATCCAGAAGACGTGAATCCTGAGGATATAGGTAGTATGAAAGATCTGCTGCCCTTCTGTTGCCTCTGGCTACGTGGTGTGTCTGAGGGGTCAGAAGGGCAGCAGATCTTTCACACTACCTATCAGAGAAGACGGAGATTGGGAGGAGGCTGGCAGTGTGAGAATGAACCTCACTCATTGTTTCCCCAGGATCAGCGCTTTCAAAGAAGTTCTTACACTTTGATACTACTTTCTCTGCCATCTTCTGAATTCCTAGAGAACTATTTCACTTGAGAAATATTTTTATTTTCTTAGCCAGAATCTGCTGTTGTATTACCATGAACCCTAAAGAAAATATACAATTTCCTTTTGTTTCTTTGCCTTTTTCCTTCCCCTGAGATAAAACAATTATCCTGTCTTCTTTCTTCTAATTGGGGTAGCGAAGTTGTTAAAACTTCTTAAAACTTGAGGTGGAGGGAGCCTCCCTGGTGGTGTAAGGGGTTAAGACGCAACCTATGAAGCTGTCGGCAGCCACTGCAGCACACGTTCAGTCCCCGGCTGGCCAGGGAGCAACCCACATGGCACAGCAGACCTCTCCTGATTCTCCTGCTGCTCCCCTCAGCAGTGTACTTCAGTCAGTCTGGCTGTTCTGTTCCCCACTCTGTCTCTGGTGAATCCTCTCACCCCCCACATCTCTGGCCTGTACCCCAGCTCTTGTATGCATAAGTAAATAAATCCTTAAAAAAAAAAAACAAGGTGGAGTCAAAATAGTTATTTGATCCACGAATAGGTTCCCATTAGTCACTACCATCAAATGGTTTTACTGAAGACAAGAAAAATGGATTGATACTTTCAAATAAAATGGAACTCCAGTAGGAAAGTAAATTCTGGGACATTAACATTCAAAGGCAGATTATGTTTTGTATTTTTCCTTGATGCATGTTAGTACATAAAATAGAGAAAAACATTTGCTACTGCAGTTAATAATAATGACCCTATATTTTAATTCTTTAGAGGCCTTGCCAAAATAAATTTAATTGATAATTTCATTTGGCTCGTTAACTGTATTTCCAGAATAGCAGCTGGCTGAATCATCTATTCACCACAAACTTGCACATGCACACTACAAACAGACACACCCCACTTCTTTCCTGAGTATGATATTAAGGAATCAGCATAGACTGCTTTCTGAGACATAATAGACCTTCTGCCTTAAGAGCTTTAAGAAAAGTGTCAGTGACTTTAGAATAAAGCACTCCGGCAGTTCTACCTTCTACAATAGTGAGAACACAAGAGCATACAGTATTCTCACAGAACACACCTAATCCTAAACTCCAACTCTTTTTCTTGCTCTCATCCTGGGGAAGCTGACATGCCATCAGCTGCCTTCACCAAAATGGGTTTGGGATAGCCAAGTGGCTATGTAGTCTAAGGCCCTAAGAACCTCATCTATGGCTGTTTATACCTGCCTTTTTCAGAGCAGGCATTTGAACTAAATTTGGATACAGTAAGATTTATCCAATCTGATCCAATAAGGATTCAGAGTTTGTGCCATATTCAGATGTAACTATTTAATACTTTAGCCAGCTGATGAATAGACACCTATGAAATGTCTGGTTTCTTGAAGTGGTCTAATGCCTGTTCATTTGATGTCCATTCATTATTATCCTTATTATGTCTAGTAAATCTCTCCTATTTTGTGGAAAATAGATTTTTGACTCTGGATTTTCCTAAAGCTGTGTTCTTTGTATGAGTCATATGTTTAGACTCTATGGATCAGCTTATGACCTCTAAAGTTTCTAAAAGGTGTAAGATAAGAAAGAGCTCTGATGAGAATACACTTTAAATTGAGATATACATGAAACCATACTGAGCCTGCATATTGATGATGCATAAGGAATATTGGATATCGTCAGGGTATAGCGTTAACAAAATCCATTGTTTCTAATTGTTGTTTTGTTGGAGAACTGACAGATAGCAATCAGGGGCCTCACCTCTTCTTTCATGGCCAGTGAGGAGAGGTTTGCACACTGGGTAGGCCATGCCTGTTCTATCTCCATTATCAGACTTTAATTGCTCATGGTATTTGGGCCCCAAGGGCACCTGTACCTTCTACATCCTTAGACTTTCCTCATCTGTTCTTTTTTTCTTTTTTTAATTTTTTTAGATTTATTTTTATTTACTTATGCATACAAGAGCTGAGGTATAAGCCAGAGGTGCAGGGAGTGAGAGGATTCACCAGAGACAGAGTGGGGATCAGAACAGACAGATCTACTGAAATACACTGCTAAGGGGAGCAGTGGGCGAGATGGGAGAGGTCTGCTGTGGCAAATGGGTTAACTCCCTGGCCGGGGATCGAACTCATGCTACAGTGACTTGCAGTAGCCTCATAGCTGAGACTTTAACCCCAGCACCACCAGGGAGGCCTCAATCCATTCAGTTAAATAAACATTCATTGCACATTCAGTATGTTTTAGCCAGTATGCCAAACTATTCACACATTATCTCATTTAATCTTCAAAACAACTTAATAAGTTGTACGTATTCATTTTACAAATGTACAAACTGAGGCTCAGAGAATTTAAGAATCTTACTTAAAAGCTGGGAGTTTAGAGTTTCTTTTCCTGCATCATCAGGTGGTGAGGGTGGTGAGGGTATAAAGACAAATATGACACAGGCCCTATCTTCAATGAGTTTATCATTTTGTGGAAACAGACACACCAGCACAATTTCATTTAAATGGGATAAGTGCTGTGACAGAAATATGAGCATAAAAGTTATAAAAGCCTAGAGGAGGATTAGAACTTGAACTTAGAGGTTATAGGAAGGCATCTTGGAGGAAGAGATGATCTAGTTGAGGTTTAGGTACATTGAACCTAACTTCTGGGGAGTGTATTGTCAGACTGCCCTAGAACTAAGCATAGAGAACCCAAAGACCCGTGAGCCTAGAACTTTTTGGGGGAGGGTTGCTAGTCTGACTCAGCATTAGCTCATTCATATGTAGATATTTCTAAGCTCTGAACTGAAATAAACAATTATCTAAATTCATGAACAAAAGTTAGGATGCATAGATATTAGATCAGTTATTAATCTAATCAGTTATGTATCTGATTTCCTTAATGTTTTAATTTGTTAATGCAAGTTTAATTTTTTAATGTTGTAAAGCATCAGGTGCTGGATTAATGGTTATGGAATAAGCAAACAGGTGAGAGAATTAATGATACACAGTAAGATCAGCAAATGTTTTTTCTATAAGAACCAGATAACATATTTCAGACTTTACAGGCAGTTCTGTTGTGGCACAAGGCAGCCATAGATTAAGTCAGCAAGTGGATAACAGTGTGTTCTAATAAAACCTTATTTACAAAAAAAAGGTAGCAGGCCATATTTAGCTATTGATTATAGTTTACCAATTCACATATAATATATAACAATATTTGATAGAAGTTACAATTTGTAAGAGAGCAGTGTATTTGCATCTTGTAAAATGGATGATTTTTAAATTCTATGCTTAATTACATGCAGGTAACATATCTTGGGAAGGAGCTTTTAAAGTATGTTTCTGAAGAGGAGCCCACATCTCCAGAACTAAACTTGGCACCTCAGCAAGATCAGCCTTGCCTTCCAGGTATGTGCAGACTAATGGCCGTGTCTTAGGAGTGGGGTTAAAACACCTAAACCCACTGAAAAGGCACTCACTTGGAGGGTAGTCATTTTTTTCACTGACCTGAAATTCATTTACCATGCAAATAACTGTTAAGGTGAACAGTTCGGTGGCATTTAATACATTCACAGTGTTATACAACTGTCACTTCTGTGTTGTTCCAAAACACTTCATCACTCCATAAATAAATTCCATACCCATTCAGCAGTTACCTCCTATTCTCCACTCCCCTCAATCCCTGGGAACCAGTAGTCTGCTATTTTTCTGTATGGATTTGCCTGTTCTGAATTTTTCCTGTTCCATAATGGAATCAACCTTTTGTGCCTGACGTCTTGTTACTAATCCCTTTCTGGAGGTCCTGATTTTTTCTCCTTTAAATATTTCAGAAAATATTAATACTTTGAGAACTGTGGAGGTGCCAATATGGCAGTCAGCTTCTTGCTACCTAGGAATCTACAGGCAGGACCCTGCTGGCATGTGTAGGCTGCTGTTGCAGTTTTGTTTGAACCTTCTTGATTTAGGATACTTTGTACCTGATTTTGTGTCATCTGACAGAGATCCAAAGACTGTCAAGTTAGAAAAATACAAACTCACTGGGCCTCCCCTGGTGGCGCAGTGGTTGAGCGCTGGGCTGCAAAGCTGCCCGCGGCCTCTGCAGCGCCGGTTCGATCCCTGGCCACCGGCGAGGGTCCCACATGGCGCGCAGACCTCTCCTGCTGTGCCCACTGCTCCCCTCAGCAGTGTACTTTGTCACTCTGCCTGTTCTGCTCTCCATTCTGGCTCTGGTGAATTCTCTCACCCTCCTGCGCTTCTGACTGTACCCAGAATAAAATAAAATAAATAAATAATAATAAATAAATAAATCTTAAAAAAAAAAAGAAAAAGGAAAATACAAACTCACTAACCCTACTTCAAGCAGAGCATTCAGGAGAGAATATTTTTCCTTTTTCTGAATATTAAAATGTGGTTATGCAAATCATTACTCAGATATTACAGAGACCCTGAAGTCTAAGGAAAATCAAGGTGATGTGTATTTCATCTCTCTATCTCAGATCATGAATATAATATATTCTCTTACATTTTTTGATGATCACGCTCTTCAGAATATTAGTTTTGGGGAATAAGGGAAACTAGGAAGAGCTATTTATATTTCCCATGACTAGGATGACCATGCATCTTGTTTTGACCAGAGCAATCCCTAATCTAGCAAAATCATTAGTAGCATTCCATTTCAGCAGGCCTCGTGTAGATGACCCAGTATGGGAACTAAGCAGCTAGACGTTAAAAAAAATGAAATTTGGATAAAGTTTAAAAAAAAATAGACTAGGGGACTATTAGTCCCCTAATAGACTAAGATCTTTGAGTTCAGAAAAACTTGTATGGGCTGTGACTTCCTTTATTTCTCAGTGCCTGTCATACAGCAGCTTCCCAGTAAATGTTCACTGAATAAATGAGTGAGTGAGTGGAGCATGTCTGAGCCAAAGGACAGCTATTTTAAACCTTATGATTGACTGTCGAAACAGGTGTGTAATCCTACATCTAATGGACTATGGTGAAGTGTTCCACAAATAATAAATGTGAGTTTGGTTAAATATTACCTCCTTTATCCGAATTTTCTGCTTCTAATTGTGCAGTGTAAGAGTAATGCCCTTCACATGGTCTTAATCACAAATTTAAATGAAAACTATCTTCCCTTTCCCTCTCCAACCTCCCTCTCTTTTTGTCTCTTTATGACAAATCATAAAGAAGTCTGTTTAGCTTTGTTAATTAACATTGCCTGAACTTATTTAATCAGATGATATTATTAATACTTCATGGGACAAATAGCAGCAATCTCAGTATCCAATTTATTTCTACATACCATTTTAGATATGTTAAGAAAATCCTAATTCATGAAGGTAAATAAGTTTTAATTTTCTCTTTTTATATTTTCTTCAATCAGTCAAAGTCAATGGAAGGAACTATTTTCTTAGTTCTGTACAAAAACTAGTTAATTTGGTAGCTCAGCTCAGCATACTGACAAATTCCAGAGTGTTAAAGTGTGATATATTAACGCATTTGAGAGTCTGTGTTGTTTCTAATTAAGATTTTAGACATACAAACACAGACCTTTAAAAATGAGATAATGTTGATGAAATCCTAGAAGTATCACTCTCTCTAAAGTCATCTTGATTCTTAAAATGGAGATAGTCTATGGTGCATTTTCCTTTAAAATTTTATTTTTTAATTTAAATTTTTAAAAGATTTATTTATTTATTTATACAAGAACCGGGGTACAGGCCAGATGTGCAGGAGGGTGACAGGACTCACCAGAGACAGAGGGGGGAACAGAACTGGCAGACTGACAAAATATACTGCTGAGGAGAGCAGCGGGCGAGACAGGAGAGGTCTGCCGCGCCATTTGGGACCCTCACCAGCCGGCGGGGATCAAACCAGCGCTGCAGAGGCTGTGGACAGCTTCACAGTGCTGTGCTCAACCTCCTGTGCCACCTGGGGAGGCCAATTCCTTTGAAATTTTACAACTTCCTCCCAATGGGGCCTCTTCTCTCTCTGCCTGTGGAGCTGTAGTCCCTCTCATTAAGGGGCTCTTCACTGGTACTTCAGTATAGATTAGAAGGAAAATAATTAACATTTCTTAAGTTTTGCATACTTTGTGATTGCTGTGTACGGGACATATCAACATTTTTTAGTTTTCTTAAAAATTATTGTATTAAGTTAGATCGCATTTTATTATTTTACCTAGAAAGCTAATTTTATGTATTTATGTACCCTGTCACCATAGCATGAAAACACTCAAAAATACTTAAGCCAAAAAAAAAAGCAATTAAACCAAATGCATTCATCAAAGAAAAAAAGTATCTTCTAAAGTTTTCTTTTCTCAAGTTATAATTTAATGTGCACTAATTATATAATTTTCTTTCATGGGAACGTAACATCATATATTTATTTGAAAACAGAACATACCTTTCCAAGAAAAATAGACTACTCTTTGTTTTTAGTAGAAATGGTCCTTGACATACTGATCATCTGTCGTAAGTAAATTAGTTTAAGAAAAGAGTTTTCTTCTTTTTGGTTCTGTTATTCAGCTTCATTTCTCTGTAAAAGTATATGTAACAGAGCACAGACATTCACAGGTGTTTCTCTTTTATGTGGTTAAGAACTTCGTAAACACTCAAGGAAGATGAGTTCCTGATAACAGAGCAAGAGGATGTTTATTTCAACTCTTATTTACCACTTTTGATTTTTTTATCATTTTAATTATAACTTTTCCCCAGAATCTTATTAACACTTCTTTGACCTAATTCATAAGAGGAAGGAGAAGAAAACTAAGTATTTGTTGAGCACTTGCCATGAGCTGGGCCCTCTGCCAGATAATTTTGCACACATGGGACCATTCAGAAGCCTAGTAGAATTTTAGTAAAAAATTTAGTAGAATTCCAGGGTTGATGTCAATACAAGAAAAACACAAAACCCTGAACTCTTTATATGTAAAATCAAGTACCTCAAACCCAATTCAGCTTGGGGAACCACCTATTTTCAAAGATTCAGGGTTTAAATAGTTCTAAACTTCTCAATATCTAATGTTTAAGTCTATTTCTTGATTCCAGTACAGTTTTCACAAATGATATTTATCTTATCAGTGTAAGTCTATATCAGATTGTTAATTTAGTTTTAAATATCAAATCATATAAACCCTTCCACTGTATCTCCTAGCATCCCTTTATTTTAAAAAGGTATTGAACTTAATATTTGAATGAAAATCTTTCCCCAGCAAAAATGGAGCAAATTTATTTTATTTTTTTTTTTTTAGTACTTTTTTTTTTTTTTGATTATTTATTTATTTATACAAGCACTGGGTACAGTCAGAAGCGCGGGAGGGTGAGAGAATTCACCAGAGCCAGAGCGGGGAGCAGAGCAGGCAGAAGGACCGAAGTACACTGCTGAGGGGAGCAGCGGGCGGCAGGAGAGGTCTGCGCGCCATGCGGGACCCTCCTCCAGTGGCCGGGGAGCAGCCGGGAATCGAACCAGCGCTGCAGAGGCTGCGGGCAGATTCGCAACCCAGCGCTCAACCGCTGCACCACCAGGGAGGCCCCGAGCAAATTTATTTTTTACAATGTATTATATAATTGTTAATCATTTTGCCTTTGATTAGGATTTTATTTCTGATTCAGAATAAGAATGTATACATAAGTATATTCATTTCCATTTGATAACCAGAGTAATAAATGTTTCACTTCATAATTCTAATGAATTGTGGAATGCTTAACTTATAAGAACAAGTTCTGCAAGTCTGAGTTCAACAATTTTTGAGTTAGAAGTGAACCTTATATATCAACTAGTCTTGAGTGGGTTTTATAGATAATGAAATAGAGCCAGAGAAATAAAATGGGTTCGGTGAAAATTCATTGTTTAGCGATGTTTCAAAAGTGAACCATCAGTTAAAAGATTGAATCTTATTATTTTTGCTTTTGGTCTATTAAGGGAAATTAAAGTAAAAACAGGAAAAGAAGAGTAAAAGTTAAAATTATTTTTAACCTTACTAATTAGCTTGTCATTTTGAAGTTTTAATTTGAGCAGGAAGATAACATGAATAGTTAATTGCATGAACCCATTATTTTGCCTTGTAATGAATCTTGCAATTCAGTTGAAGTAGATTTGTGCATAATATCTAATATTTGATGATATTACTTAAGGAAAGTTTATTGCCCCTACCTTATACATGATTACAATTATTCCTTCACTGTGCAATTCTTGATCAGGGAAGAAAGGCAACAACAATAGGCTAACATCCAGATAGATGACTGCTTTCTAGTTGTATTGAGCTGCTAAATGTGCTACTATGTAGAAATTTTGTTTTAAAGATCTCAGAGGTTACTGACTTTGCCTAGTGAAAATTAAAGGGAGAAGAGCTTCTACCACCCACCCCATCGTCTACCATGGTGTAGATTAGTGGTCTTCACAGATTTTGATGGAAAAATTCTGCCCCAAAGCTATATGTAAAGATCCTTGGTGATCATGGCTAAACAATGATAATTATTTCAGCAAAGAAGTGATTGACTTACTAACTCCCAAGGAATTTCTTTCTACCTCACTCAAGTCTTTCAAAGATAGAACTCCTTTAAAATCCTTCTAGTCTTCCTCATTCCTTTCATTTGAATTCGGATCATAAGTTGGAAATCAGTTTTGCTGTATTCTTCCATTTCCTTATATGGGTATTCCCATGTTTAGTTCAGTGTTTTGTTGTCCTCTTCCTCCTCCTCCCCACCCCCATGTATTGGGAATGTTCTCCTGGGTAGCAACAATAGGAAATGGGTGCTAGGAGTTGTGATCAAAGAGTCAGGCTTCTGGTTAAGTAGATAGTGAGGGGTAGCACTAGCTGTAATGAAATGGATAGGAATGACTTGGTGGGCATTCAGAGACACCTAGTGCAATATAGATGGTAGAGAAGGAAGAGGAAACAGTTGCAGATGAAAGCTAAAGGTGGTGTGAATAGTCGTTTTGTAATTGTCTCTTTCTTTCTTCAGTCTGGTTGGTAAGAAACTAGGAGATGATCTTAATACTATGTTCCTAGAGTTTCATTTCCATTAGTTTACCCAGGATGTGTCACCATGTGCTATGGAGGAGCCACTTGTACTTTTGTAAAGTCCTAGATTATAGGAAATTGGGAAATAATGCTGACAGTGAACTTCGGTGGAGATCGGGGTGGGATTTTAGTTGTCATGCCTTTTGTCCCTTAGAAGAAAAAGCCATGAATAACTACTAGCTAAGAATATCAAACAAAGAAGGCTAGTGGTTATAACATGGCTAACCTGTTGAGAAAGATATGAATTAAAACCGCCATACCCTACTGACTTTAATAATGTAGTCAGTTCTGCTTCAAATAAGAGGAGGTAGGCAGAAGATGGTCCCTTTTTCTTAATTCATCAACAGCTCTTAAGGGAGAGAGTGAGCCCAAGTTCATCAAAGTAATTCTGAATAACACTTTCCCTTTCTTTAGCAAGCTTTCATATATGTGGCATCTTTACATTTGACAAAGATGAATAAAGCAAAAGGGAAAAAAGTTTAACATTAGCATGACTTTTTTGAAAACTCCACTTCTAGGAGTTTCTGGATTAACAAATGTCCAGGCTGATTTAACTCTTCCCACCAAAGGTATTTTATTGATTCATGTACATGAAAGACTGAATTGGTCTTTAGGACTAAGCCAAGGTTCAAATAGCATGACTAGCGTCCAGGTTCTCTTGGTTCCCATTTCTCACCTCCATCCTGACAACCTCACCATTCCAAAGACACATGCTTCCAGGTTCAAGTCCAGAGTAGAAGAATATAGATAGGACTCTTTCCCAGAAGACCCAAAAAAGATCTCATTGCATCTCACTTTCCACTGAATGAGTCATGTTCTCATTTGTGATTCAGTGCCTGTTCACTGATTGCCTTATATCTGTATAAATTAGGAGGTTGAGAACAATTCCACCAGGACCCCGTGGCCTGGGGAAAGGGATGGTCATCCAGAGGCAAATTGGGACGGGGCACATTTGGAAAGATAAATGAATACTAGGCATCAGAAATGCCAGATGCCCACACAGACATGTAACTATGTAAATGTATTGCTTAACATTATAAAAACATATAGTCTAGAACTATATGACGCCTCTAACTGAAACTGCCTGGGAAAGATCACACCCATCTTGGTGCTGTCTGTGGAGTAAGATTCAATTTACTCAATGACATAAAGCTCCTAAGCTAATGCCTAAAAAAGGAAATATCTGAAACTGTCAGAAGAAAACAGTTTTAGGAAACTGGCAGAATTAAAAGGGACCTTGCTAATCATTTCTTTTGCCTCTCCAAGGAGATGTAAGCCTAGAAAAGCCATGTGATTTGCTCAAACACACCAAGTTGGTGTTACGATTCTCCATCTTCTAGTCTAATACTCTTTTCACTAATAAATAATGTAATGGTAATAATATAATAGCAGCTGGTATGTGTTGTTTGCTATACTTTAGATGGTAAATAAACATTTTACATGTAGTATCTCAATACTTACAACTGCTTTATTCTCAATTTATGGAAGCTGAGGCACAGAGGGGCTTGTACAGCGGTCTTCAGAAGCTTCAGTCATCTTTTCATATTTTAGAGTGCAAACAAACTTCTTTCTTCCAAGATCAGTTAATGCTGTTTTACAGCTTTAACTCAGGTATAGAAAATGGAGTGTGTGAAGAATGACCTGTTATATGTGCTCATAGACTTGACTAGAGTCTAGGACTTATAAGAAGTAAATTTGAAAGGCATCTTTTTAACTTGTTGACACTTCCTTACACAGAAATTTCTGGAGAGTCAATGCAAAGCATCCCACATTATCTACAAATAAATGAAATACTATTAATCAGTGATCAAGAGTTTCTCCCATGCCATGTCATGGATCAGCACTGGAAGTTCTATGTGGAATGTGAGGAGCTAACACTCTAATGCCTTGTTTTCTTAATAATTTATTAAGATGTTCATATTATTAGCCAACATCCATATTTTATCTTGTGTGGTCTGATAGACCTATTTGATCACAGACTATGGATTCCTACTTGTGAGGTGTGTTTATTTTATGAAAAAAGTGTAACTCTTCAACTCTTATATTAATACTTTTGGCATTGAAATAAAGGCATTTTTGAAATAACGTATATTGACTCTTCTGGCTTTTTTTTACTAGCATAAATGTAAAACCTCTTTCAATCAACACCCTTACCTTTGCATAAATAACAGTTGTTCTTGGAGAAGCAAAGATAAATAATATGATTTTTGGTCCAAAATGGCCCCATTAAAGTAAGTCTACTTAAAAGAAGAATGTAAAAATCCCAACTACCTCCCTCATTTATTTTGAATTTTGTCTTGAAATCAAAATGTAAATTTTTTTTTGAATGTTTATTTATGCATATAAGAGCTAGGGTGCTGGCCAGAGGTGCAGGGGTGACAGAATTCATCAGAGACAGAGTGGGGAGCAGAATAGGCAGATCTATTGAAATACACTGCTAAGGGGAGCAGCAGGCCAGTCAGGAGAGGTCTGCTGTGCCATGTGGGTAGCTCCCTGGCCTGGGATCCAACTTGTGCTGCAATGGCTGCAGATAGCTTCATAGTGCTGCGACTTAACCCTTTGTGCCCCCAGGAAGGCCCCAAAATGTAAAATTCTAAAGAAAGTTTTTGAAGTTTAAAAAATTCTAAGTACTATTTAGTGTTAATAGAATTGTAACTGTACTAAGTCTTAGGACCTAGTACAAGTGTTGATTTGGGAGCTGACTGATTTAAATAGGCTGTGCTTTACCTTTGACTTTTGCTGCATCCTTGTGAATTTATTCTTTTAGAGAAAGACATATTCAAGAGCTTTATTAGTTTACTCAAGGAACTGTCTTGATCCTTTGATACCTTTATGTTTTTTTACTTATCTGTCATCACCTCAGTTTCCTAAATAAGCTAGTTAATGCTGTGATCTAATTCTATTTCTTCTTTCTCAGTTGGATAGAGAAAATTAAATTGCAATAAAAATTACTCTAGTAAATGCTAGAATGGGGGCGTGCTATGGTTTTTCTTTTTAATATAAAATCTTAAATACCTAGAAAATATAAGAAACTGGTTAACAATTGCCTGTGGAGAGAAAAATTATGGAGAATGGAGGGGAAAATTTTTTAACTGCCAAACCCTTTGGCAACTATTGAAATTGTATTATGTGTGTATTCTTCCTATTCAGATATAAAATTTTAAATGTCTGCAAAGAAAGCACTGGAAACATTTGCTTATTAATAAGACTTTAAAGACATACTAGATTATTTTGAGAGTTAACTGTAAATGTTCATGACCCTACATAATAAAATTTGAGAATGGCAAGAATCTTATTATTCCGGTACCATCTTTTTATACTACCCTGATTTTTTCCCCCTAATTCTCAAATGATCTATAGAGATAGTCTATGAGATAGTCTATACAGCTTTTATTATTTAAGGAGATGTTTAAAACATGACCATTTGGAAAAGTATGTACTAACACAGGAAATTATAAATGTAGGAAAGTGAAAAATGTGGCTTGCTAAATAAACATTGTTCAATACAAAGTGCATATGTAACATTGCTATATATATTTATAGGCTATGAAATGTGTATTTGTATGTATAATTATGTGTGTGCTGGTGTGTAGTGAAAGTTCTAGAATGCTATAAAAACAAACATAGTGCCTAAGGGATTTGGATTATGGATGGTAAAAGGATACATTTGTGGTTTACTTTGAGCTTTAAAAACACATTTCTTTCGTAATTTATAAAATATTTTAAAAGAACTATTTAAAAGCATGCAGTTGGTTTAGTGATTACAATTTGCAAAAGTCATACATTCTAAGTTTATAGTACAAGAGATCTTGCAATTCTAAATGTTCATTTTAGTGTCAAATTATTAAACTTAATTTTCCAAATCTGTTTAAAATTTTATATACCAACTGGTAACTGACATAACACCTTCTGCTTGAGCATGCTGAGCGTTATCCAAACTAAGTAACAAAAGGGTCTACTGCAACCAGGTTTGGGGTCCAGAGAGTTCCTTACCCCAAATCATCCCTGTGAGAAGACTGGGTAATCTGAATGTTTGCTCGATGTTTTGCTAATTCTGGGTTCAAAATGAAGCCCTTCATCAGGATGTTTCCAAGCACAGTAACTAAAATGACTTAAACAATAAGGGGAAATTATTTCATATAACAAGTCTAGTCATAGGGGCTTCAAGGCCCATTATTCAATTCAGCAATGTCATTATTGTTTCCATCTTCCAGCTCCTTTAACAGCCATCTGTGCCAAGATGGCTCTGCTGTACAAGTGTGCATGCAGAAGCAGTATCATTAGAAGCCGAGTTTTCTTCCAATGCAAATCTTTTGGGAAGAAACCTTCCATGAATATTGCTACCACCTCAGGAAATTGTGACTCACTGACCAGAATTATACCTTCTTCCCCAGGGAAATCCGGTTACCTTGATGAGCTGAGAGACGTACATGCCATGTGTAGGTGTGTACTCCACTGTCCAGAGTCCAGACTCTGCCAGTAAAAACCCATGTGTGTGTGAGGGGGAAGAAGTTAGGGTAAAAGCTGGTATTTATTGAGCACTTAATATATGCCACACATTACTGTAAAAACTCATTTAATTCTCACCACACCCTACGAGGTAGGAAATATTACCTCATTTTACACATGAGGAAACTGAGGTACAGGATGAAGTAACTTGGCCAAAAGTCACAGTGTTAACCAAATGTTGGAACTGGTATTTAAACCTGATGATCTGGCTTCAGAGTTCATTTGTTTGGTATCATGTTATAGTTCCTTTCCCAACCAGAAGTATCAGCCTGGATATGTTTGTTAAATGTTTAAAACAGTGTCGACATCATTCTGGATGATGGTGACCTTATTGACTCTTTCCTTCTACACATTCTGAGGGAGTCAGTGTTTGCTCATACTGATGAGTGGCAGGCAGTGAGGACAAATGAGACAGTCATTGCTAGAAAATGGAATGCAGAAGTCTTGATAGTTCCTGTTCATTGGTATCTGCTCTTGAGTTTCTCTTTTTTAATCTAGGAAGTTCTAGGCATAAAGAATGAGTAAAATTGTTCATTTTAGATGTTGCCCAAACTCAAATTTCAGGGGGAACTACCCTGTTGTTTTTAAATGAATGCCTGTGCCCATGGGACTTGGGTTTAAAGTTCCTTTGGATCCTCCATGCTGTTGCTGGCTAACAGCACATAACCCCTTTGTGTTTCTTTGGACTTTTTTCCTTTCTGTTTCTTCTTATGTTGTGTTTATTGAAGCCAATTTTACAGAAGGAAACCAGAGCTATATCTCTCATAGACATATAAAAGCCAAGAAAAGTGGTGAGTTTTTGCTTAAATGTGATCAAATTGTTTTTTCCATTCCTAGTTCTTTTACCACCTTAATGAAGAGGAATAAAATTTAAGGACATGTCAAAGCAACCTGCCTCAGTCTTAAAATGCCCAAGTACAGGCTACCTGGTCAGCCTCTAAATTCCTTGGGCATTTTGTAAGTTCATATTCTTTCATCTAGACTACTTTGCCAAGGACTCAATGATAGAACAGCAGATGCTGTTGAAGCAGTAATGTAATAGTGGTATTTTCAATGGCAAAAACAATTAATATTTCTGTTTTTAGCTTTACACAGACAACCTGAAATTTCCATGACACAGAGCAGTTTGAGATGAAGTTGGGCCGTGTCCTTCAAAGCTGGAGGCAAGGATGTGGTAAGACAAGTTACCTAGCTAGCTTTCATCTAGACAAGTTACCTAGTTAGTGGGTGAGCATTGCCAAAATAGGCTTCAATCCAGCAGTTTCATCTCAGCACAGCCTTTTTTGCCTTCTGTTCATTATCCATTAACTGTCATGAAATGATTAAACAGAACAAAACAAGCTATGTTTCTGTAAAAAATGGCCCAAAAGGAAATGTGTTTTATGGAGATGAAGATTTAAGAAAATCTTGCATCTTGGCAAAAAAAAAAGCCATTTGGGACAAATGAAAGGATAGATGGTCAAACTTGGGAGAACCCAGCTCTGCTCTGGAGTGGAGACCGTGTGTTGGTATTAATTAAATCTCCAAATGGTTCCAGTGAATAGCCACTGACCTCTGAGACTTGTTCTGATCACTTTTCTCTCCCACCCACCATCAATCACTTCCTTGATCCTTTATTTCCCAGACTGCCACTTACAAGAATCAGCTGGAATACTTTTTTAAAAAAGAGATTCTTGGGCCCTACTCCAGGCTTAGTGAATCAGAGTCTCCAGGGTATTCTTTTAACAGGTGCCTAGGAAAGTCTTGTCAGGCAAAAGTGGGAAATATTACAGTGAATCACAATAGACTCAACAGCATTCATCCTTAAATATACCTTTAAAGACAGTAAACAGAGGGTCCATGGAGTTACCTGCTTGTTAAGTAAAAGATATTCAGCCCCAAACTAGGGCCTCTGCTGGCTTCCAGTTGAGAGTGATAGTTTCAGATTCTTATCAGAAGTCTTCAAAACTTCCAAACTCCACACGGTTGATTGAGGTCAGACACTGAGCTTCAATTGTTAGTTTCTGCTATTTACCATTTTGGATGTTATTTGGTGTCTTGTTCTTACAATGTCTCGCCACATCTTCAAGTTCCATTCAATCCCTATTTTCTTATGATAAACAACGCCTATTTCCTTACAAGCTCTGCAGAAGGTCATTGGATCCTACTATGTCTTTGCAGGACAAAGGAGACTAATACATCTGAAAATCCTCAGGTTTAGTGAAACCGGTTTAGACATCTGGAACAGATTTATCACAATTTCAATTGGGACCCACATGCCATTTCAGGGAGACCTTTCATTCTTCCAGGATTACCCTGTGCTTCAAAGGCTTTCCTTGGGCCTGGAGTAGTAGCACAATCGGTCCTGGCAGGGTGGCCCAGGAGGCAACAGCATTTGGTGGGGAAATTCCTGAAGGAGGAATATCAAGACCAATGTGTTTCCTAACAGTTCTACAACTGATTTGCTATTTGACCTAAGTACTTAATCCCTTTGAGAATCAGGATTCTTGATTATAAGATATGTTTCTTTTTCCCTGAAGACACTCAAGATCGTTATAAAGATCAAATGAAATTAATGAGAGAAAAGAACAGTTTTGAAAAGCTTGCTAATTGCTGCAGCATCACAGCACACTATTATCACAACCAAAGAAATCCACTGTCTTCTTATCCTTGATCCGGTGGGTATTTGCATTCTTGTCAGTCTCTCATTTCTGCAATGAAACTTCAGAAGGAGGTTCTGCCAGACAGACCTTCCACCTTGGAGCTGTGCTTTTGAATCAGCCCTCCTTACTTCTCTTTCAAGGATGTGTTTGGCTTGCCCTCTCCTTGGAGTGAAGTCCTTTTGTGATGCCCTCAGTGACTACAGACCCTTGCTGAGATCCTTGAACCTGGCAGCCTTTTGGGCCACTGGCTGTCATTTGGCCCCGGTCAATTGGCTGATAGAATCTCCTGTCTTGTTGGTTATTTATATTCCAGGTGCAGAAGTAATCAAGTTAAGAACGGGTCACTCGGGAATAGGGTGTCCCTAAATCCAATGTCTGCTGTCCTGAAAGAGAGAAATCTGGACACAGAAAAGACACAAAAAGAAACTCATGTAGTGACAGGCAGATATTGGGATGGTGTGGTCAAGGATGACAAGGCTCGCCAGCATCTCCAGAAGCTGGGGAGAGGATTCTTTCCTAGAGCCTTCTGAGGCTCTGCCAATACCTTGATTTCAGATGTATAGCCTCCAGAATTGTGAAGGAATTCTGCTGTTTGTTCAACCCATTCGTGGTGATTTGTTACAGCAGTCCAGAGAAGCGATACAGGAAAGCTGAGCAGTATGAGAGTGCGGTAGAGGCCTTGTGGGGCCACCGCCCAGTCTGCTTTCTGAAAACATGGGGTATGGATTAGCACAAGGTTTGTCTTGGGTTTTTTTTTTTTGCTTGTTTTATTTTTTTTTTTTTTTTAATTTTTGGCAGCATAAAGTATTAAGGGAAGCAAGAGAGTAATTGAAGGCAGTGAATGGAGCAGATTGGCAAAAAGCTGGGTACAGTCTGAGTATAGAGCAATTCAGAACAAAGTTTACAGAATTTATGTTAAAGGTACATTTAAGGTTCCATCCCAAAAACTGTTTACTTTGTGACAAAAAGCTTGATTTTGGGAGTTGGAGAAAGGAAAAGGAATGGGTGCATGTGTCACCCCTTCATGAGATGACATATTGAAAATAATAAAACTGACCTATTTGGAAGGACGTGTGTGTGTGTGAGAGTGTGTGTGTGTGTGTGTTCCATAGCACCCCTTGCTTGAGATAACTGGAAGCGCCTATGGTGTGAGTCAGCGGTGATGATGGCTAGAGGCCCGTTTGTTTTCTTTTGTTTTGTGTTGATTGAGGTAACCTTGGTTTACCACACACTGTATATCCTCAGGGAACAGATTCAAACCCCCTCAGATGTATGTCACCATACCCGCCATTCAAACACCCAGAGTCCTTTACACTGGACCATTGGGCCCCTTCCCCACTTGTTCCTACCTCTACCCTCCCTCCCTTTTAGCAGCCTTAATTCTGCAGTCATATTTCTAGGGTTTGTTTTATTTTAGCTTGTCAGTGCTTTGTTGTTGTTTTTTCCTCTATATTCCACATATGAGTAAAATCATCCACCTTCTACCTCCATCACTACCACCATTCTCAGCGCAAATGAGGGCACAGAAGGGTGATTTCCAGATTGTGGTGGTCCCGCTAGGAAGGAGGAGATGCGTGCAAAACCAGACATTTGCTTGAAAGTAAGTCTGCAAAATGGTTATTAAAATGCTTGCTTCCAGGGCCTCCCCTGGTGGCGCAGCGGTTGAGCGCTGGGCTGAGAGGCTGCCCGCAGCCTCTGCAGCACCGGTTGGTTCCCCCGCTGCTGGCGAGGGGCCCACAAAAAATAAATAAATAAATAAAAATGCTTGCTTCCAGAGCACATGGGTTTTTTGTTTTTGTTTTTAAAGGTAGGGTAGGCTCAGGTCCCAGAAATAGAGAATGTGGCTTTCCATGGAGCGAGCCCTGTTTAGGGTTCACAGAGCCCCAGGTTCTACTTGGTCCTACCCTGCCTCTCCACCAGCCCTGAGCTGGCCCTCAGTCAACATGGGCTGAGGAAAGAAAGAACAAACTAGCTGAAACTTACTTCCCAAATGCATCCTCGTCTCTGTAAGGCAGGCCCTGGTAGCCTCAGAGCAGCTAAAGAAGATGAGCGCCACGGACCAAATCTGAAAGTTGGAGAATTGCAAACACAAAGTGTTATAGGACAGCCCCGATATTGAACAGGTTGCCTGGCGGATTTGGAGTTCCCAGTGTCTTTGGCTTTGGCCTGGGGTGGGGGTGGAGTCCACAAAGCCTGTTTGGAATTAGCTTTAGGACATCCTTTTCCCCCTAACAAAAGTAGAGCATCCACTGCCCAAAGCCAACATATTCACGCCCTCCCAATCTCCATGGAGGCCAAATCGAATTTATTGCCTAATTGGTAAAGTAGGCGTGTGCTTTTTTCATGCAATTGGGTCCGGATACTGTGCCGGCCTTTACCTCCGGACAGAGGATAAAGAGGAAGCCTTAGTGTTTGGCATGTAGGCGCGAATTAAAAACAACAACCCCCCCCAACACACACACACACACACACACACACACAAACTACCTTTGCACCTATTTATTGGACAGAAAGCTTCTCCTTCCCACGCTGCTTCCTAGATGCTATTTCTCCAGGTTGCTGGGAGGCTGCCCTCGCCTTGGCACTGCGAGCAGAGCGCCCTCCGTCTCTGTAAGGACAGAGCCCTGCAGAGCCCGGCCTTGGGGGAAGCGAGGGGTAGCAGATGTGAGTTTGCTTTGTCACTACCCTCTGGGCGACTTGGGGCAAGTCACTTCGCGCGCTCGGCCTCAGGTCTCGTGTGTATTTCATCCCGGGAGGGCACCGCACCTGGAAGACTCCCAAGGCAGCGGTGGGGAGCCCAGCGGCTCGGCCGGAGCCGAGCGCCCTGCGCGCGCCGTGGAACTTTGTCCCGAGCGCAGAGAAGGGCGCAGTGCGGGGGCCGGGAGCGCCCCCGGCGGGCACGCTGCAGCGGCGGCGCTCCTCCTTTCTCCTGCGCGTCACGGGGGCCGCCCGGCGCTCTCCCACCCCCGGCCGCGGGAGAGCAACTCCCTGGCAGGGCGCGCCGCCGAGGTGGCGAAGCAGAGGAGGCGCGAGCGAGCAGCCGCAGCGGCAGAGGGGTGCGGAGCCCGGAGTGCAGCCTGCGGCTCCCGCCCGGGCAGCCTCTCCAGCCGCGGGGACCCCGCTGTCGGGGCTCCCCCGCTCTCTTTCGTAAGTCGACTGGGCCACGCAGGCCGGCGAGGAACACCCGGGGCCGGGGCGCGGGGCTTTTCCAGTCGCGGGGTGGCCGGGACGCCCCGACCCCTTTCCTCGTGACTTTCACTTTGCGGCTGGGAAAACTTGGGCGCCGCGTCCCTCTCCGGGATGGGGGCGGGGGGGTCAGTCCGGGGGCGCTGCGCTGAGACCCCGGGTAGAGACCGGTCCTGGCTCCGCGCCCGCGGACCTGCCCTGGTGTCCGAGGGCCGACGAGGCTCCCAGAGGGCAGAGATGGTGAGGAGGGCCGGTGGGCGACCCTGCCCGGCGCTAAGCGGACCCCGAAACTTCGGCGCTGCAGCCGGACACTAAAGTTCCCTGCAGCCGGCGCGGGCAGAGGGCG